AAAAGTATTGTTTACAATATACAACCATGATTCTGCTAAACCCATCCCAGGTGTATTTTTTGCAACTTTTCTGGCTTACTTAGTGTAAAATCTTAAAAAGCTGAAGAAAATGTTGGGCCACTTACTTTTCATCATTTACACCAAAATAGCACACAGTGTGATTTTAAGACAATTGCAAGATTTCTACCCATTTTTGGACTGTGCTGATGTATCTGCTCCCTCAAAAAAGACATAAAATGGCTAATAAAATATAACAAAAATAGGGATCAAATTCAAAGAAAAATAAATCTACAGATGCTGGAAATGAAGCAAGAAAATAAAGCTGATTGCCAATTTAAGCCAGTAAATTTTGGGGTGGTTTGGCAAAGGCTGATTGATAAACCAGCTAAAGTATAATTCACGTATAAGGAAAAAATAGTCACATCTTTAAACAAAATATGCGGTTTCTCTTTTACAGACAACTCTGAAAGAACTACCAATAGACATCCTTCAAGAAGAAAATTGATCCCAAAATGAAGTAGCTGGATGTTAGAAACTAATAAATGTATTGGTTAAGTAAATATTGATTATGCAAAGTAATGATGACAATGACCAATTTGTGTGTGGGGAGGTCTTAAACACAGTGTGGGAACTAAAATATCAAACAATATAAAATATGGGAGAGGAAAGAGGCATGATCAGAGAGCAAAGTTCCCTAGAAATCTTATAGTTCAGGATGAGGACAGAAATACTGAACAACTTTAAAAGTGCACTGTGCAACATGGTAGCCACTAGCCCCAGGTGGGTATTTAAAGTTTAATTTAAATTCATTAGAAATCAATAAAATTTGAAATTCAGTCCCTTCACCTCTGACATGTCAAGAGCTTAGCAGTCATCCCTCCCATCCTAACAAGGAAAAGATAAGCCAACTGAAAAATCAGTGATGTTACTTGGACCCACCAGAGATGAGGTTTCGGGGTAAACCAGAATCGTGAAATCTGGAGTAATGAGGGTCCGAAGGCATTGAGAGACCTACTGATTTTGTCATTCAGACATGGCCTGCTTTTATTCAGGTCCCGACTCAAATATGGCTTTCTTTCCGGTAGTCTTACGTACGCGTATAGGAGAGAGCAGTATTCCCAGATGTGGAATATGCATTTCCCCAAGTCAAAATAAGCCAAGCAAAAGCTGGACGTCTTGTCTGGTCCTAGCAGTGGGTAGTAACGGGAGTTTATTTTTGGTCGCTTGTGGCTCCTGTCCAGGTAATTCCTAAGAATGTTATTATCATTAGGGCGTCTTTGGACCTTTGCTGGACTTATTAACCAGCCTCGGTTGGCTATGTGAGTCATCAGTGCATTCAAATCAGTCCCAGTCTGCTCTTCAATTTCCAAAGTTATCATAACATCATCAGTATGGTGTATTATTACACTGGAGACCTGCACCAAGTCCAGATCCCTTCTGACCAAATTATGGCAGCAAGTTGGTGAGTTTAGAAAACCCTGTGGCAGCACAGGAGATGTAAATTAGGAGCCTTCCCATGTGAAAATGAACAACAGTTGGCTCCTTTCCAAGATGGAATATAGAAGAAAATGTTTGAAAAAAAACAATCACTGAGTATCAATTTCCTTTAGCCTGTTGTTTTTTCTTTTCTTTTCTTTTCTTTTTGTATGGTTGAAACAATGCCCAGAACTGCTGAGGCTCTGGGTGGTACAACTTTATTTAAGCCTCAATAGTCTACTGTTAGTCTCCATGAGCTACAAGCCTTTTTCATCGGTCACACAGGGTTACTGTGCAGAGAATTCACTGGTACCAGCACTCCGCACTTTAGCTTTCAACGGGTCATTAATTAAAGTGGTAATCTCTTTTTGCCTACCAGGTACAGTAAATCCTCAATACAGTAAATTGTTGATAGGTTCTGGGACTTTAAGTGAAATGGCTACAATGAAACCAGTTTTACCACAGGCTGACTGATACACACAAGCATTACGTTCCTGTGGCATCTCATCAACGTTGTAACAAAAACAACACTGAACAAGACTATGTTGAGGACCTGCTGTATCCTATATTGTTTTAAATTAACTACCTGCATGGGTTTGGGCCATTCTATTGGTTCCCACTTAGCATGTCAAATGAAGAGTGGTCTGAGGGCTGACTTTCAGGCCTTCTGTTTTACAGTATTAGGTGGGAAAAGCGATCTCTAGTCCAGCGGTTCTCAACCTTCCTAATGCCGCGACCCCTTAATACAGTTCCTCATGTTGTGGTGACCCCCAACCACGAAATTATTTTTGTTGCTACTCTATAACTGTAATTTTGCTACTGTTATGAATCACAATGTAAATATCTTTTTGTTTTCCGATGGTCTTAGGCGACCCCTGTGAAAGGGTCATTCGACCCCCAAAGGGGTCGCGACCCACAGGTTGAGAACCGCTGCTCTAGTCAGACGTACCATCCAACCCAATAATAATTCAGGTAAAGGAGAGCTGAGCACCTCACATAAAGTTTGTTCAAATATCCCAATTTTCAGCTAAACTTTCACCTGAACCCCATCAACCTTTGCATCTCCATATCCCCCCCGATCTAAATTTAACTGCCATTAAGACTTTACCAATAGCTTTCAAATCATAACGCATTGATTGGGCTCCTGTGTCAAGGAAACCCAGGAAAGCGTCTCCCCTCCTCCCCCAATCTGGCCATTTTATCTCACATGTGCATATGGCCTTGGATTATATAATAAAGGATATGCTAAAGGATTCAGATGAACAGCCGGAGGAAGAAATACATAGGGTGAGGTAAGAGTGGTCCCAAACACAAGAGTCTCTGTCCCCATGGAGGGAGGTGCATCCCTCCCAGCACATGAATGTGTGCACCTACCCAGACGTTCTCTGAACCCAGTACTTGTGGGATTTTTATGGAGGCTTCGTTAGGTAGGCATGATGGATGGTTAACTCAACTTACAGTCCCTCTCCCCTCTCTGGAGAATGGGAAGTAAGGCTAAGAGTGCCAAGTTTCTAATCATGGCTCGGTCTTTCTGGTGACCAGCCCTGATCCCGGAGCCCACCAGAGTCATCTCATTAGAACAAAATATGTTCCTATCATCCAGGAAATTCCAAGAGATTTAGGAGCTCTGTGCCAGATGCTCCTATTGCTCAGGAAATTCCAAGGGTTTTAGGAGGTCTGTGTCAGGAACTGGAGTCAAAGACCAAACATAAGAAGGAACTGAAGGCAGAGACATATATACAAAGTGTACCCAAAAAATGTAGACACATTTTAAGAAAGGAAATCTGTATTAAAATTGTAATATTCAACATATACTGATAACAAAAGATGAATACAAGTCATGTTTGACTTGTATTACAAGAGGTGCTCAAAAGGGTCACCATCTGCATAATTTTAATACAGTCTTTTCCCCTTTTTAAAAATATGTACAAGTGGTTCGAGTCCAGCCCGAGCTGAGCAGCCGCTGAGCTGCCAACAGGTAGCAGGATGGCTCAGCTAAAAAAAAAAAAAAAAATGTACACATTTTTTCTGGCACCCTCTGAATATATAATTCTTTTACACACATGGCTATAGAGAACCATAGCCAGGATCCGCTTACCTGGAACAGAAGCCATTAGAATCATTAATTGGTAGGAACAAACACTTAAATGGTAATTTTTATAAACTGCTGGGGGCTGAGTGTGGATTAGGTTAGCGTGAGATACTCCTGGGGTCAACAGTATTAAGGGGGCCAGAAGCAGGTGGGCGTAACTGCAGGAGGTCACTGGAAGGATATGCGGATCGAGATCTGGTACCAAAACAGGGGATAAAGGAAGAACTATTCTGACTGCTCTCTTCTTCTTCCATCCTTACATGTCTTGTTGAGGCTTCCTATTGAATTGGTCAATCCCAACAGGAAGCCAACCAGAAATGCAGTCCACAGCAGTCGGCCTTGTCTAGAGGGCTATTAGGAAAACAGAGAACAAAACTAGCACAAGATCTCTCTACAACAGCATTGGAGATGGTAACACTCATTTTCCTTTTTAAAAAATCCCTTCTTTTGTTTTACTCTGAGCTCCTCTTTCTGTATCCATTTATCTCTCTTAGAACATAATCCTTATAAAAACCCAAGTTAAACAGGCATATTATGATAGTGTTAGCAAACTCTATGTCTAGTTTAATATATTAAAACATTCATACCATATCTGATACTGGTTATTCAGTACTTTGTAAACATATTTCTACAACAGTTAAGACAATTTATAATTCATAAAGAATAGAAGCAAAGATTTCATTATGTTGTTATGTAAAATGGTTATATGTTTGTGACAGTGTACATTTAAGCAAGACAGGAGAATTTATTGCTTGAGTTTTAGAAATAATTTAAATAAATTCAACTCTCACTATGAATTTAGTTTTCTAGGACACTAAAGGCTCCTAAATAAACAAACTATATAGACCATTTATCATAGATTTAGAAATATAATGCTCCAGATATAATTATGATATATGAAAATATACAAATAAAATATTTAATTATATCAAAGCCTTATAAAATGTATGAGAAAAAGGTGAAAGCACAAAAATAAATGAACAAAGAATACAAATAATTAACACAAAATAAAATGCAAATGTATGAAGCTTCAACCTCACCATAAGTTTAAAAGTAAATTAAAACAATTTCAATGTTATACCAGAAAATATGCATACATATCTAATTAGGAAATTATATGTATTATAAGAATTCCAACTCTATAAAGAATACACTAGAGAAAGAATAGTTGATTTTTTTAATATGGAGAAATTGTAGTGATTCCGTTATTCAACTTTATTTAATTTCTATATTTTTCCCATTATACAAATTTTCTTTGCTGAGCATAACAATTTAAGTTATATAACATATCGCCCAAAACAATAGGAATACTGCTTAGTCTTCAAAAAACCTTCTGATGATATTCAAAATGAAATAGCTATTGTTTAAGGAAAAAAATAATATGTAAAGCTGACAGATTTTTTTAATTGAGTAATACAAAATATTTGTGTGTGTGTGTGTGTACACACATGTGCATACACTTATATAACATAAAAATTATTTAAAAATAGCAGTAAATACACAGAAAACTATTGATGAGGCAAATCACCACCACCCAAGCCATAAGAACTTAATATAACATATTCAAAATTTTATAAATCTGAACAAATGCTGCGGTGACTTTCATTGCTTACAAAAGGTGTATTTGAACTGCTTTTCCCATGCATGTGCTTATTCATTTGCGAGCCAAGGGGCCCTGACCCTGTGAGTTTCAAGACAAATTCTGAAAAGGTTTCAAGGAAGACTCTCAGGTTGTACTTGGGTATTAAAGCAAATGTAAAAACCTGATGTATCACAAACTAGCATGCAGCAATCACAGGGTTTGTGGATGTTGAACACATCCTTCACATATTTCAGCAAGATAATTTTTTAGTAAATGTCATATTTCAAAAAAGTCATGCTTCGAAAAATTCCAAGTTTGTGGTTTGATCTTCAACACCCAGTGGCTGGCTCGTCAGATAACATCATTAATGCTCTGTTCTGCTTTTATTAGATTTTCTATAATCCCTAAATTTGATGGGGAAGAATAATTTTAAAATGTATTCATTTATTGACTAAATATACAAAATATCGATGTTAACAATTTTTAAGATTATACATCCTGCAAATTATTACATATAACATAAGCTTAGATGACATCAAGGAATGATTAGGCTTGAGGTTTTATGGGTCTTCTGAATGAGAGAGCAATTTCCATCTCATGGTTGTATCAACCTCTTCATCAAAATTTCCCACCTCTTGCTCCTTACAAAGCTCTAGGAATACCTGGATAGGAAACAAAAAAGAAGGAAAAAGAATTATCAAGTTGTTGGTTGTCTCCAAATAAAGAGGCAAAATGCATGCTACTTTCATGTGAAATTTACAGAGATGTTACAAAATCATCAAGGTTGACTCACATTTTCCAATGTGAACTGAGAGAGGCTGTATTCTTCCAGGTTAAAGTTATGTTTCACTGAAAAAAAAAAAAGACTAGTAGTAGCTACTTACAATTTATTACCAAGAATTTTTTTCAAAGTCATACAAAATAAAAGTGCAAATCATTAATATAAATGGAATCCAGAGCTGAATGAATAAATGTTTGGTGGAAGAATGAAATAATGAAGTCAGAGAGTTAATATAAATGCATATTGAATTAATCTTGATATTATAATTTTCTCATATTACATTTTGACAATATAACTGAGTATATGTGTCTTGAGGAGATATATAAGTTCCTTCAGGAACTGTATAATTGACTGATATATTCTTACACATGGGGAAGTTTTCAGTCCCATTTCATTCTCTTTAAAAGGACCCAATACTTCTGTGTAATTCTGCTTCAGCCAGTTCATATGCCATACCAGCTCTCTGCTGGGCATCCCCACCAGGAAATCTGAATGAGTGGTCACCAGATTTACATATTCACATGTTCACAGTTCACTATTTACATATTGAGAACCGGCTTTGTGTAGTAGCCACCCTTAGGTGCCAGGGACAGAGGCTAAAGAAAATAGGTGAGAAGTATTTGTTCAGGTCCTCTGCCCATTTTTTAATTGGATTGTTTGGGTTTTTTTGTTGTTGAATTGTATGAGTTCTTTATATAGTTTGGATATTAGCTCCTTATTGGAGGTGTTGTTTGGAAATATCTTGTCCCATTCCGTTGTTTGCTCCTTTGTTTGGTTGATGGTTTCTTTTGCTGTGCAGAAGCTTTTTAGTTTGATATAATCCTGTTCATTTATTTTTGCTTTTACTTCCATTGCCTTTAAGGTCAAATTCATAAAAAGTCCTCTCTGAACCCAAGGTTCATAAGTTTAGTACCTATGCTTTCTTCAACGCAATTTATTGTTTCAGGTATTATATTTAGGTCTTTGATCCATTTTGAGTTACTTTTGGTGTATGGTGACAGATAACAGTCTAGTTTCATTCTTTTCCATGTGGCTTTCCAATTTTCCCAGACACTTCTCCCAGGAAGACATACAAATGGCCAACAGATATATGAAAAGATGCTCAAGTTCACTAGCTATTAGAGAAATGCAAATCAAAACCACAATGAGATACCACCTCCCACCTGTTAGAATGGCTATCATCAACAAGAAAAGAAATAACAATTGTTGGAGGGGACATGGAGAAAAAGGAATACTCATACACTGCTGGTGGGAATGCAGACTGGTGCAGCCACTATGGAAAACAGTATGGAGGTTCCTCAAAAAATTAAAAATAGAATTACCATATGACCCAGCAATCCCTCTCCTCAGTATCTACCCAAAAAATCTGAAAATATTTCTCCGTAAAGATATATGTACCCTGATGTTCACTGTAGCATTATTCACAGTGGCCAAGACATGGAAACAACCAAAGTGTCCTTCAATAGATGTTGGAAAAAGAAGATGTGGTACATATATACAATGGAATATTACTCGGCCATAAGAATAAAGATGAAAATGCTGCCATTTGCAACAACATGGATGCTTATTGTGATTCTCATGCTAAGCATAATAAGTCAGAAGGAAAAAGTCAAGAACCATATGATTTCACTTATATGTGGGATAAAAAACTGAAAGCAACAAACGAACAAGACAAATAAACAAACAAAAACTCATAGACACAGACAACAGTTTAGTGGTTACCAGAGGGTAAGGGGGAGGAGGTGGTAGATGAGGGTAAAGGGGGTCAAATATATGGTGATGGAAGGAGAACTGACTCTGGGCGGTGAACACACATGTGATATATAGATGATGTATTACAGAATTGTACACTTGAAACCCACATAATTTTACTAACCAATGTCACCCCAATAAATTTAATTTTTAAAAAAGGCAAAAACCCCCAAAAAACAACCCTGCCTTTGTGTAGTTTGCATTCTAGTGGGAGGAATATTGGCATTAAATGAATACGCACTTAAATACGTAATAAAGTCAATGATGATAGCTACTACAGACAAAAAGTAATCAGGTAAAGGAAACAGGAAGTGCTGGGCGCTTCCTATTTTTTATGGGATGGTTAGAAAGGCCACAGAAACAAGGTAGGAACTGAGCAGGAACCTGAAAGAAGTGAGGAAGCCGCCTGGGTATTTAGGAAGCAGGATTCCAGGAAGGAGGATCAGCAATTGCAAAGTCCCGAGGGAGGACAACGCATGCCTGGTGGCATTTAGGAAGAGCTAGGAAGTCGGGTGTCTAGAACGGAAGGTGCACACCAGAGAGTTGTATGATCTCCAGCACAATGAGCCAGGCTCTGTTCTAAGCTCTTTACAAATGAACTCATTTAACCCTCCTGACAACCCTGACACGTGGGCACTGATGTTATCCCTCGTGGTAGAGATGAGCCATCTAGACATGTGGGGGTTGGGTAACTTTGTCCCACGTCCCCCGGCCTATAAGCAGCAGTGCTGGGATGGGAGCCCTGAGAGCCTGGCACTCGAATCGGATCTCTTGGCCACCACGCTGTGTTCAGAAATTCCACCATGATGGTCTGCTGCTGGGAATGGCCCAGGTAAAATAATGAGGAAGAGAGAAAATGGACAATTTCAAGTGGCAAGAGGAGTGATGCACAATGCAGCACATGGCCTTGTTGGAGACACAGACAGTTCATCGTGAACAGGAAGGGGGACACACAGCGCAGACGCAGAGAGGTTTTCTGCTGCCGTTATTTTACTAGTGAAATATAAAGCAAGGGCACCGACTGAGGGAGGAAAGCAGGAAGGAGACGGCTACGTAAGAAAAGGAAGGAAGGAATCATTTCGGACACTTGGTGTGAATGGACTGTGCACAAGGAAGCAAAGCAGACTGGACTGACGGGCTCTTTGAGGTTCATGGCGTGGATTCACAGAAAACCCAGTCAAGCACGATTACGTGTTTTCTGCAGCTTCCGGCTGCAGTGAAGATTAACCTCTTTCCAGAGAGCTGAATTAACCAAAGTTGGGATTAAATCCCACCATTATCCACCATTAGGATTCTTAAAAATCATACCCTGCAGGGCCTATTTTTAAAAATGTATTACACAGCTATTTCCTATTAAATTATTATTTAAGTCTGAATTAATTCTTCAAAAGTTTTATTTAAAAAAGATCATTCTTACCTGCCTCTAATTTGTGAAAGGCCTGAGATAGGGGGTGAACATCTACCGCGGGCAGCTTGTAGGTCAAGAAGGAAGGATACCTGGGGATAGGAAAATGTCATATTTGACCTTGAGTTTCAAGGGGGAAAAAACAACCATCGAAATAATTATTGACGTTATCAGCAATTTCCTTCTTAAAATAAAGGTAATGCAAATTAATGTATGGCTTACATAGGAAATAAAATAATTTATCAATGGACAATTCTTAAAATGGCTTTGGTAGCTGGCTGTTGGAGATAGTTCTCTAAATTACATTGATGCTCCATTTATGTAACCTTTTTTCTTGTTGAAAACAGATATTTTGAACTCATCTTTTTAATTAGGTTCAAATTAGGTTGGGACTAATCCCAATTTAATATTTCATCCCTGTCACCAGAAAGCTAAGGAAAGAGAGACACGAGGTTGGGAGAGAGGGGCATAATAGTGGAGGGATTCAAAAAGCTTTAACTGAACACTTCCCAGGCCTCTGAGGAGAGAAGAGCCAGGACTGATTTTGGGGTGTCGGGTTTCCACATGGTACTTTTAGCTGTATGACCTCAGGCCCCATTTTTCAGCTCCTCCCAAACAGAAGTGCGATGCTCCCACGTGGTCCACAGCTGCCTATACTTCTAGGACTGGCCCTCTTCAGCCAGCCCTTGTTCTTCCAGTCTTACCATTCACCATCTTCCCACCTACATCAAAACAATTCTTAGATTTGTGACGACAAATGTCTAGGAACAGGACTGAGTTACATGCCCTGGCATATCTCTTACATGAGGCCATTAGATGTATACTGTGCTAAAATGGAAACAGCAGTTGTCATGTTCTGCTTCTTGGGTGTGTTTATTCCTCCAGGGAATTTTAAATTCAGTTCTTGTTCCACTTCCTTGCCCTCCTGCCAATAACACAGAGACACACACAAACACACACCTGCATCTATGTATATGCACACACACCTTTCTAGTCTCCATTTTGAGGCATGAAAATTCCATTAAAGGGAGGCCCTTTGATTATCTCGGTTGCTGCTTGTTTCCTATGAGGGGGATTCACCCTGAATACTATTATAGTTACATCTTTTAAATTATATTTACGTCTTTTAAATATTCACAAGGAGGCCCAGGGAGGGTGGCATGGGCCCAAATGGGGTCTCATATGGGTTTGAGTCATCAAAAATTGCTTCCCTCCAATTTTTCCAAGTCCCCCTCCAGAGCTGGGGATCAGCTCTGGATGGCCAAGGAGACCCATGAAGGGTGTCCCCAGGCTTCCTCAGGGACACAGCTTCCTGGGTAGCTCCCAAGTCTCCTCATATGGAAGACTCAATGGGTCAGTTTTTGAGGTCCCTAACTTCACTATGAAATCCAATCACCCTGACATTCTCACAAGGAAGAAAGGGAACCACTGCATGGGTAAAGCCAACAGGTTTCTTCATATAACCAAAAGCTCCTTTCACCTTTCCTGCCGTGCAGCCTGTGGGAAAAGCTTCAGAATCTCAGTGTGGACCAAAGTCACTTGAGCAGCTTCCTTCACTTTTAGTTCTAGAATGTAATCCTTGCCAAGTTTGCTTTTCAGGTGTTGGATGGAGCCGATGCATCTATGGGGAAGAAGGACAACATGGTGGAACAAATGTTGCCCCTTAATTTTTTACGTTATTCTTAAATTTCAAATAAGGGAGAGGGCGTCACTGAGGGAGCTGAGAGAAAGAACTCCAGCTGCCACGGTGGTTTTGCCCTTTTCATAGGGAATCTCATTTGGGGCTCAAGTGCAGGCTCTGCAAAACACCCACCTCAGCCTCCCGGACACCATGATGGCAACGCGGTCACAAATGGCCTCGGCCTCTGCCATGTAATGGGTGGTCAGGAGGGCGCCCTTCTCTGTGTTTTTAATGGCTGCCTGGATCATCTGCCTGAAGTGAGCCAAAAAATCAACACCGTTAAAAAAAGAGCTTAGGGGAAAAGAAGAGATGGGGGGGACATTTTAGAGATAAAATATAGTTTATAAATCATATTCAGATCTTAATTAAAAAATCCAGGGAAATATGACTACTGATTAGGCTTTTGATAACATAAAGAAAAGTTTTTAATATTTTTAGGTGTGCTAATAGTTTTCCAGTTAAGCTATATAAAAATTTCATAGCTTTTGTAAAAACTGACAGAAATATTTATAAATAAAAGACATGCTGCCTAGTATTTGCTTCAAAATAACTGAGGACTAGCGAAAGGAAGTGGGTGGACGTATAGATGAAGAAAAACTGACCTTCTATTGAAAGTGGGTGATGGGTATAAGTTCATAAACAATTCTCTTTACATTTATATAAAATTTCCATAATAAAGTTCTTTTTAAAAGCTGTAAAAATATCAGACAGTGACAAATATGAAACTGGATTGGAAAATTTTATCAGTGTAAATGGAAAATCATAGATAGGAAACTAAAAAGAATTAAAAAACTAAGAATAACTGGATAAACAAATTTGACAGATTAGGTAAAAGGGGGAAAAAAAGGAAATGGGGAAATTGTGTCAGTAAATTAACAGTTTCTAAGGAAATAGTTATAGACACCTCAATAATTGAAAGACAAATTAAAATACACTCCACACTGCAAGACCTAAAACTTTAACAAAATACTTAGAGGATTTTTTTGTTTTGCTTTTTAAAAATATGAATACCACATGAATATGATGCAACATTACAGAACCTACTTGTTAAATATTTGTTTTCCTAATAATGTGGACTATCTCCACTAAACTGGGAACCAGTGGATTTGATTTTTCTAAGATCAGTTTCAAAATGTGGCTTTTAGGGCCGGCTGAGTGGCTCATTGGTTAAGAGTTGGCTTGGGAGTGCAAGCTCTGAGCAGCAGGGCCGCCAGTTCGGATCCCACATGTGCTAGTGATGCTGCGCCCTCTACAGCTAAGATGGTGAACAACAGCTCGACCTGGAGCTGAGCTGCCGTGAGTCGCCGGTGACGGCGTAGGCTGCAGCCACTGCTGCAGTGGGTTGCCATGGGCTACCGTGAGTGGCTGGGAGCCAGTGTGAGCGGCCAGCAGCCGGCGTGAGTGGCCGTCCAATGGCCGGTGACCAATCTGCCTCACCTGGGAAAAGCGCAAAGATAATACCAACTTGGGCCAGTGAAGCGACGTCCTCCACAACTAGACTGAAGAACAAAAGGACAGCAACTTGTCTGTTCCCTTTCCCCAATTCTCCAGCGTTGTTCCCCTCCCCCAATTCCCCAATAAAATCTAAAAAAAAAGCAGCTTTTACATAAGGCTTATTATACTTCAGCTCTGAGGGTTGTCACTCTCACCACATTTGCTGCTGTCCTGTTGGATCCATGCCTGCAGACGGTTCATCCAGAAGCAGGACAGGGGAACCTCCCAGGATGCTCAGCATGAAGCACAACTGCAAGGAAGACACACACCTTACTTGCTGCCGCCACCGCGTCTGCCCTCAGAGTGACATCACACACCACACGTACCTTCCTCATGGCTGCTTCCCTTAGCTTGTGCACTGGAACACTCAGCTGTTCATGCAGTTTGAAAGTCTCCACCAATCTGATGGAAAACAGGGTGAGAACATCAGATCAAAGGAGGATTTGGGGGAGATGACATCGCTTGGAAGAGAAACAGCATTGGTTCAGCGTGGTGCTATTATTCTCAAGACTCTAACGCTAATGACGAAAGCAAAAACAAAACAAAGCAAAACAAAAACTAAAGTTTATTTTGGAACATGGAAGATGTTTCCTCTCAGGAAACGTTTTTAAGAATAACTAGAATTCTGAATTTAGAACTGAAATGGATGATTACTCACTCACTTGTCAATTATTTTATGCAGCTGTTTTTTTTAAAGATCTCTCAACCAGGGAGGCCAGAAACAGCTTGTCCCCATCCCTGCTCTCCCTACCACGGACACTCTGCAAAGGTGGAGATGTCATTTCTACTGTTCTTTCTCTATTAGTGAATTCATCGTCAGTGTACAGCCTCTCTGTCTCCTGACACAAAGGAATCACATGACCTCTGTGTACCGTGAAATGGCAGGTGCAGCGTCCGCTTTCCTCAGCCCTTTCACGGCTGCGAACACCTCCAGATGCTCCCTCACCGTCAGGTTGGGCCACAGCACGTTCTCCTGAGGACAGTACCCCAGGAACTTGACCATGCTGTCTCCCTGGTGATCCAAAACGGAACTACATCCTTTCAGTTCCACCTAAGAAAGTAAACAGGTTTTAGAAACACGTGTAGCCTTTTCTCCAACCATGCCATTATTCAAGAAACTGGCCCATAGCTAATACATGCCTACATTTTTTGGGCATCAAAGAAATATTATAGAAATTACGTCATACATTTATTGTTAAAAACTACTTAAACTCCTGCAAGGGTAGTCTTGCAATGCTATAATCTATGTTAATCACAAAATTTCTATTTTGGGGAATGGAAACCGTTTCTTCGTTTTTCACTACCTCTCCAGCTGTCGGCTTCGTGATCCCAGCTATCATTCTAATAGACGAACTTTTACCAGCGCCATTGGGTCCTAGCAATCCCAATATTTCACCTGAAAGAGAATCACTGAATGTCAGTACTGTAAGTGAAATCGTGATGAACATAAAACTGTTCCTTCAATAACCTTCAACAACCCCTCAGTACCATGTAGAAATTTGTAACATGGATGTAATCCATGTCACCAACAGGGTCTTTCACTCCTAGAATTATATCAAATGCTAGTGAAAAGCTTATGGGTTTCATGTCAATACACCCATCCTTTTTTTTTTTCCAGATTACTTTTTCAGTGAGAAATGTGCCCAGGTTTTTTTCTGTAGTCGATGGCTGATGTGCTGAGTACACAGATCAGTGATTCCTAAACTTGGGAAGTCGGGGACATGTTCACCATCGGTGTCTGAGCCACCATCACCTTTCATCTGAACTGATATACAAAGCCTCTTCACTTGTCCACAGCCCAATTTTATGAACCAACAACAGCCAGTGTGTACCTTTTTCAAAATATAAATGAAATGGTGACCAGACGCTGGCTGAAGTTGGTATGACATCTAAATTCTTTGCTCTGTTGTACAAAGCTGCCCCTCACCAAGCCCTGCTGGCCTCTTTGACTTCATCCGTTCCACCTGCAGACGCATCCACTGCCCTGGCTGTTTGTGCCCCCGGGCACCCCCACGCTGAGTCCCTGCTCTCGCTGTTTCCTCTGCCTGGGGTGCTCGCATCTCTTCATGCTCACAGAGCTGGCACCGTCTTGTCCCCACGATTGGGGCTTACATGTTACTGCTCAAGGAAGGTCTTCCCTAACCCTACATGAATGCAGCCCCAAGTCACACACAGTGTGACTTCGCAGTCATTTCACATAGTTGAACGTTCCTTGAACAACTTGTCTACGTGATCTCAGATACTTTTCTTGATATGTTCTTTTTGTTTATTTACCCCCCCCCCCTGTTAGGATGTAAAATCCATGGGGACAGGGACTTGCCGATTCTTTCATAATTGTATTTTCAGAGCCTAAAATTGTCCCTGGAACACTCACAATGATATGTTGAGTGAATGACACTCACAAATTACATGTTGAATGAATGAATGCTTCAGCAGCTACAACAGTGCCCATGACACAGGTGTCCAGTGGGTAGTTCTAAAATTAATGGTGAATAAAAAGGTGACTCTTCCTAACCTTTTTTAACACAGAAGGAGATATTTCTTGCTGCAATTTTCTTCTTCCTCTTTGAAAAGCAACTTTTCTTCTGGCTTGCATATTCCTTGTGTAGACAGCTAGCAATTATGACGGGTTTCTGGAAGAGATGACAATGTGATTTTCTTCTTAAATGTCAGAGACTTTACATCCCTATGTCCTCCCGACTGGACCTGTCTTGCCCTATGTCATGAACCAAGCCATATTTTGAGTTGAGGGTAATCCGATTGCTTGTTCCAAATATAACATGGCTGCACTGGTGCTTCCTGCTTCTCAGTGGAGTGAGAAACAGCATAATGTCATGGGAGCCGCTTCCCTGCCTTCTCAGAACACCAGTGTCTAATCTCATGGCAACATCGAAGTCAACCCTCATAATCTTAATTTCCATTAGGATTTTATAACATATCTCATGTATTTGGTTGTCGGAAAAGTCATGACGCACTTTTGCAATGAAAAACATAGAAAAAACACGTCATGACTTTTCCGACAACCCAATAAATTCCCCACCTCATGAAACTTTTGGTTTCGAAATGATAGCTCTACTTATGTATATTCTATTTTTCTCAAAAGAAGAAAAGAACCATTATGTTTTGTGTTCTTCTTTGAGCTTCCGGGACACTTTCCCAAGAAGCACCTGCATATTTAGGAATCACAAAAATGCACCAGATTCCAGACTTTCAAGATGAAAACCTGCACATCAACCACTACGCTGGGTAGTTCTTCAAGCATTCGTTCTATTAACATGCACTTTGTCACTTGGTTGTCTACCTCCTCTGAGTTTGCAATGGTCAGGGCGGCTGCTGTTCTGCTTCTTTCTGCTTGAACATCTTCGTCTTCATCGACAGTTTCTTCCGGATTTGGTCGAGCCTCTTGACCTCGAGGGGAAATTCTGTGGTGAAAACAAAATGCATGACGTGTGGTTTTTCTATTGTCGAAGGTAGATAAAAACCCAGCTGCCCTGTGAGTTCATCCACCATTGTCCCTTTCTTTCCATAAACTGGTGATGATGGCGGCCCTGCGAATACTGCTTCTGCCAAGAACTCCCACCCCTTTCTCACTGTTGGCGCCATTCTTTCAGTTGGCATCTTTAACCCTTTCAAATCCACCAGCAAGTACAGCTGCTTCTTTAACAATCAGCTACATTTTCTCTGTTCCCTGTGAGCCCATCCAATCACACCCAACATGTGCCTTAGTATCCTTTATGTTCACCCTTCTAGAGTCCCCCAAGTGGGATGCACTATTTTGCTCAACCAGTGTCATCCATCTCTCCTGTTCTAGGGCATATAATCAGTCATCTTGGATGGGAGAAGGGCATGTCTGATGGACTGAAAGCTTCCCTCTGCTGGCTGGTGTCAGAGCTCTGCCTGGGAGTCCTGTTTCCAGGCACTACGCCAGCGACCCACTGACTGGCATGAAAATCAGCACGCTGTTTGCACTGGAAAGATAAATCTGCACTAACAGGTGGATAGTACAGCCACGCTCTAGGAATATTCAAATAGGATAGTAAGTATGAAATCAAGTTTTATCCCAACCTGAAAACAGGATCCTTTGTCATTATTTTGTGCCCACACTTTTTTTCCATGCATCTTAGGACAAAAACGAATAGCAAAGCCTGAATGTAAGGCTAGGAGCAAAGAAAAACAGTGACGTTTAGGCATAAGTTCACAGACGTTATTGAAACATTTGAATTCAGCTGGTGGCCTTTTGTCTTCAGGTAAGACAGATGTGAACCATTCTTACAAACTGGGGAAGAAATCCAGCCATAAGTGACCATCAGGTAGGGGACCCTGTCTCCTTTCTTTTTCTCACAACCCACATCTGGTCTGGCAGCAAATCCTATCTCTTCTACCTTCAAAATTCTCCAGAGCCCAACTTCTTCTCACCCCGGCTTGTGCTACTCCCACCCAGGTCCAGGTCATTACAATTTCTCACCATAGTACTGCAATGCCTTGCTACCTGGTCGCCCTCTTCTCCTCTCTCTCCAAACATCTATTCTCAACGCACTCACTAGAGCTACTCTTGCCACATGTAAGTCCTTGCATATCACTTCGCTGAAAACCCTCCAATGACTCCTCAGTTACTCGAAGTAAAGTCGAAGTCCTTTGGGGACTGTGGGGACCCGGGACGCTCTGTGTAACCCCTGCTATCCACCCCACTTTACCCTACTCCTTCTGTGACCTTCTCTCGTACCACTGTCCTCTTTGGTCCCTCGGCCACAACCAGGCTGGCCTCCTGGCTGCCCCTGCAAGAAGCCAGGGCTACTCTTGGCCCTCCTACTGGAATGTTTTTCCCCAAGCTATCGCTACAGCTTGCTCCCTTGCCTCCTTCAGATCGTCACTTCCCAGCCAGGCCTTTCCTGACCACCCGTCTGACATAGTGTATATTATTTATTGAGTGTATTATCCAGCTCCTTTCACCGAAAAATAAATTCCATGAGGGCGGGACTTCTGTCTACATTTGCTCCTGTGCCTAGGAAAGTGCTGACACATTATACGCAGACACAGTAGCTTTCTTCAGTCTAAATATGTCACAAAATCATTTTTTCCCTTTCACTTTTAATTGGACGTTAATCTCTAATTCAAAGGATGTCAGTTATATTGCATCTGTGTTTTTTGCAAGCTCTCTCAAATTTGGAAGGGGCAAATAAACAGGATAAACAAACATAAGAAATTAATTTTATATTGAATTCTGGATTTAAACCATCCATTCATGTGTATGAAAAGTAACTCTAGGATTTGGAATCATGTCTGAATGTAATTGTTTATTCTAAAAGTGTTTATTAAAACCACTTTTAAAGTTGGCACACTTCAGACAAGATCAACAGTTTTTATAGCAAATGATCACTACCTTAAAAAAACAGGGGCTGAGTTAGAAAAACCTTCTTACTATTAGGCATACTAGAAGATCAACCTCACTCAGGTCGAAATTTGTGTCTTGGTGTTTTTCTTGGTGCTGGAAGCCTCTCTGCAAAGGCAAAAAAAAAAAAAGGCTAAATTGAAATTCATCAGCTTTATCATTTGCATTTACAGAAAGTCACACACTGCATATTTCCCTTAAGCTTGATTCTTCTCTGTGCACTGGTGACAAGCAATTCCCTGCCAAGAGAGGAGGCCCCCTACTCAACTCTGAATGCCATTCAATGAACAGATAATCTATGTCTGTCTCTTCTAATTTTTTTTCCCTTTAATAGTTTGGTCTAATGTTTGCTGAAAGGCCACTGAAAACACAAGAGAAAGAGGTGCCTGGATCATGAAAAATTCTAGGGGCCAACAATATTTGTCCTAATAAGACATCTCAAACCTTTTCAGGGTTCCTTCCTACCCCAACAGGGGCTGCTTCCCACCACAGTCCCGTTGTGTTATCCTTTCTTCACCCATCAGTGCATTCAGAAAGTAACTCATTCCTCCTAAGTAATGTGTGACAGATCCAGGTTCACGTGTTTCGCTTCGCAGGTCTGCTTATACTTTAGGAGAGAAATGCTTTCAGCAGAAGTATACATTTTCCATTGAGAATTCCAGGCGTTGCTCCGCCAATGGAAAAGTGTTTTTGCAGATGGAAGGCTTTCGCAGGTTCCCAAGAACCCAAGCCAATAGGGAAGCCCTCTTTACTTTCTTTAAAGCCACTTCACTCAGAATGACGCAGGGCCCCCCAAAACATGGTCCTGACCGAGCTCTCCTGCTCATCTCATTGTACATGTCTTTCCACCTGAATCATAGTCAGTTTACCTAATGCCTCCTGGGCTTCCCTGCTTTGATGCCTTTGCTTGATTCTACAGAACGTGCTAACCTCCTGCCCGACTCTCCCACGAATTAATTCTCACTCATTCTTCAAGACTGTGTTTACACACTGCTTCCCCTAGAAGAATGCTCTGATACCAGCTGTGCTTGTACCTCTGCCCTTCTGTTTTGCAGCCTTTAAGCCCTTTGCACGGACTTGCCTGAGGTTGGTCTTTGCGTCCACCACGTTCTGTGAAAGGAAGGACTGTGCTAGCTTGTCCATCAGATGTCCCCAATTACTAGCACAGCACCTAACACAGAAGTGTTTAATATATAGTTTTGAACAAATGAGTGACTGATGAATGGGTTTGTACAGGAGTGTATCCCTCACAATGGATAATGAATACTCATGAAACCAGGCAGCATTTTTCAATCTGACACTAGTGCTGAACAGCATTAAACAATGCTTACATTTTGCAAAGTGCATATGGCATAGCTTTTGTAACAGCTTGAGGTTCAATTTTCATACCCTAAAAATTCACCCATTTTAAGTGTACAATTCAAGGATTTTTTAGTATATTTACCAAGTTGTGAGGATACCACCACAATTCAACTTAAAAACATTTCCATCACCCCAAACCTCATATGCATTTGCTGTCACTCACCATTCCCACTCCAGCCCCAGAAAACCACGGGCCCACTTTCTGTCTTTAAGATTTAGGCAAAGCATTTTGATAGGTTACATATTCAAAACTAATGACATAGTTGATAATATTTCTTACCTCTTCCAAAAAAGCTACAAATCCATCCACGGTAAATGAAGGCAATAATATCATGCCAAATATCATCACAGGTAAGTCTAAATACATTACAACGATTTCATAAAAGTTGGCTGAGGTCTACAAGGCAAATTGAAATACATTGCATGTCAGACATACTCAGTCCACTGACATTTGAGAAAATATTTACTAAGATATAGGTGCGCTTATCATATATGTCAGAATGTTCCTATCTGCAGATACACACCTTTTATAGGGAAAAAGCAAAAGATGAACTTTTGTTAGTGAAAAAAAATATATATATATATATGTGTGTGTGTGTGTGTGTGTGTGTGTGTGTGTGTGTGTGTATGACCTTTAGCTCCCCAACAGAAAATCCTTTGAAAAATCTGGAGATTAAGGTAAAAAATAAAATGACCAAACAGGCTTCCTGAGAGTGCCTTAAGTACAATCTAAGACAATAGGATACAGAGAGAAATTACCTTTTTATATTTAAGGTAGCAATATTGTTAACGTATAAAAATCTGTATACATTGAAAAGTTATATGGGCAGTTATAAAACATCCATATTGCCTCTCACCTAGACTGATGCTTTCTAACTGTCATCCCTGCTCCATGACACACCCATTCCAAACAAATGGTTTTTCTGAGATTTTGACTGTAATGGACTCATTTTCTTTTAGGTTACTGGTAAATGTTGGGGGAAGGAATAAAGATAATTTTTCATTTTTCTGTTTTAAGGATCAGCTTATCAGTCAACAAGTATGTATTGAGCACTTTACTGAACCTTCGCTGGGTCTTACTAATGTGTTCATTATAATAAAACTAGTAAGAACCATAACTACTAAATCCACTGACAATTACACAAATGCCAGGCACTGAGCATTTAGCATGCATGGTTTACTTTAATCCTCACAACAACTCTATAATATAGTTATTCTTATTATCCCTTCCTTTATAAATGGGAAATCTGGGGTCCAGAGATAGTAAATAACATCCTCACCACCACACCATTAGTGAGTGACAAAGCTGGGGTTCAAAACTCTGTGTGTGGGTGTGATTATTAAGTCTGTAAGTCAGAAAACTCTACTGTTTTGAGGAAATGTTACATAAAGGAATGTTGTGTCATTACTAAGTGAATTTACAGTTTTGGGGGAATATGTAATCTACATATAAAAACAATTGGGAATAGAACCAAATAACTTATAACCAAGTATTCAGTAAGAGCACAATAAGCATTTTAGATGGCAAATCCAAAAGCCTTCTCTTGTTCTACAACCGCTGCAAATTCCCTGCAAAGGTCCTGCACCATTGTCCACATTTACGCATTTCTCTTTTCTTAGTTTCCATCACCCTTTTCTATTTTTTCTCCTATCTCCTTATTTTTGATAACTGTGAGTCCTTGAGTCCACTTAGCTGACGCCGCTGATTCTACCAGGCCTCAGGTTTCTGCTTTGGTGAGTCATTCTTTTCTTCCTTTCTTATCCACTGGAACAAGAGAGGATGCCAAAATGCATCAAAGCAAATGCTCCATAGCTCAGTGTGCCCAGATGTGCTGCTACACTTCCACCACTGGGCTGAAATATGGGCTGACAAGGTGCTCCCTTATTAGACAAGGGCCTAACGTATCCATGAAGTGCCATGTCCTTGGCGTACAGGAGTCCACTGGACTCTAGAAACAAATTAACTATTGATTTCACTCAGTGATGGGGAGACACTGGCTATACTATCCTTCCAAGTATACCCCAGATCACAAAAGGGTAACTGCACTGACCGTCAACACAGGATACATTTGTATATATGATCCTGTGAGTAATAAAAAAATGACCTTAGTCTTAAGACTAGCATGGTTTACACTTATACTAATTGCATGATGAAAAATCAGTTATCACAGTACATATACTCAATACATGTCTTATAAAATAAGTTCTTTGTATAAGACAAAAAGTGATTGCAAACTGCTTGAGGTTTCTGTGAAAATTTAGCCTACTAAAATCAAGATGTCGATCAACACAAACTTTAAATCAGTATTGTCAACCATGCTACCATCTCATATTATTTGATATGAGGAATGACATAAGGTCTGAGACCTGATTATACTAGCTGGTCTTGAATGTTTTTCAAATCTGACATCCCAATATTCCGTAAATACGTAGCTTCTTTTCAATGGTATAAAAATGAAATAAATAGACAAGTACACTAAAATAGATAAATATAAAAAAGGAGAAGAAAAAAATCAAAAATTATAAACATGTATTATACTGTAACACTATATAACTTTTTTTACATTTTGAAAAAATCTTATTTTACAAAATTTACTTTGCCACTGCAATACTGCCTTGTCTTATTTTAATCCGTAATAGTTCAAAAATAGCTGACAGCATATAAAAAGGTACCTTATCATCTATAGATATATTTTGACTTGAAAAATACAGTATTTCAGAGGCGCATGTTCAATTCTTTTCTGTGGTTCTTTATTTGCTATAGTTTGTTCATATCACAGTTAGAGAACATCTTAATGATTGCATTCATCCACAAACCTAATAGAAAGGTTTTCTGCATTATCATGACTTTCCCTAGAAATAACAAAATCATATTTCTGCATTTGTTCACTTAGGCACTTGCTGCTGAGAAATGAGGCAGGAGGAAGTCATCATATGATAATGCAAATTCTATTCCGCCTTCTACCATGTATTGAAGGTACCTTCATTAAACTTTCATCCCTTCTTATGTAAAGTGTAAGGGAAAATGGTCTCTGCTCTCTAAGTCAAGAGATGAAAGCTACTGTTCTGAAAGATGATGGTGTATCCAGTTCTGGAAGGTCTTCATAGTCTGTGGAATTGATGCAAATTTGAAATCCTAGAACTTGGCTGAGAAAATTCGGTCCACATTTTTTTGCAACCCAGCATCACTACAGAGCCTGAACCCATGAGAACAGCTCCCTCCTTACTCTGCTTTTCCAAGAAAGCTGAAGATAAAGGGCAGAGGGATGGTCCGATTGCTGATGTTGAGTGCTCCTTTATATGAGGTATTAGCAGAGTTACAGAAACCAGGATGAGTTGTGAGTATCAGATAAACCATGGTCTGATTTTTCACTTGACACAAAGCAGAAATGCAATCATCTAGATGTGCATTTGTGCCTGTCTGGCATGGCTTTTATTTATGGAGAGCCAACACAAAGAGTGGAAAAGACATAAACAAAAAGAAACCATGACATTAGGCTCCTGAATACTTAGAACTGAAGGAGAATAAGCTTAACGAGTGTGTATGTAGGAACTCACTAGGATATTTTGAACCTCACTCAGGCTGGCAGTACAGACCTGTCAACAGTTATAGTGGCCAATAACCCTGAAATTGCTTAAACATCAGCTCTGAAAGAAAAAAATTTCATTCGGAGTTGACACTACTAGAAAACACAAAGTATGGACACAGATTCTTTGTTCACCTGTGTTAGACATATACAAGAGTGCTGACTAAAAAGAAATCAACTATTAGACTCTCTTCTACTGACATCTGTACTGCCTACCCAACACCTGAGTTTACATTTGTCAAAGACAATAAGTCAGCCGAATGAACAAAAATGTTGCCATGCAAAGTATGGAGGGAAAGACTTTTGCTGCCTCATCAAAGACTCCTGAATGCCTCAAATCCAGTCTTCCAAGTGAGGCACCTCTAGAGGTCTTTTGGTAACTTCTGTACTGGGATGGGGTTGTCCTGATGATAAGAGGGATAGTAATAGATCTTACCTGCTGAATACTGGGAAATACAATCTAGAGAAGCCAAATTGGAATACTGTCCACTGAGAAGGGATAAGTCAACTGCTACCTGCTCACCAGAATAGTCTAAGGCGAATTTCCTATAGAAGGCGGTGGGTGATAGCAGATGTATTTTCTTAGCAGATGGCCTCTGGTTGGGTTCCTCCTGGGTGCTCAGGACTCCTACTACAAGAATTGGGAGCTGTGTTTGCAGACAGCCATCCAGCCAGCAGTTGAGGAGAACAGCTAAAAGGCACCTCAAGTGCTGGGCATGGGCGCTCTGGGAGTCCAGAGTCTTGGTAAACATTTCCCTCCAAGCTTTCAGTAATTGTGGATGTTCAGTAAGCATTCATTCATATTGACTAAGAAGTTCTCCACCACAGGTATAAAAATATATTTGATCTCTAAAATTATTAGGATCTGAGTTTAAGAGCCACCTTCTTAAAAGCCGCAGAAATCGATTGTGCTGTCAAATGTTATAATAAAGCCAATTTGTGTTCTGGTGTTGCCAGAAAGCCTTGTATTCTGAAAAATCCATAAACTCAACAGTAGCATCTGAAACTTCGGGTTTTATTTAAGGTGCTCCAGAAACTTGAATCAAAGGGTTGTACGTCAATTCTTCAGGAACATTATTGAATTGGTAACACGTTACATTCCCTCTCCCTTCTGTGGCATCATTTTAAGGTGTTGATTCTCCCATTACTCAAGATAAAAGTGACTCTATTTAATGTTACAGTGAAAGTTTAAAAAGTAAGTCTCTCTATTTATATGTTTGCATATATACTTACAATATAGAAGCAAAATGACCAAAGGCCACTATTTTTTCTCCTCTTGCGAAAAATAAATGATATCACATATGTCAAAAAGACAAGAGAAGCTGCGTAACCAAGCGTAATTACAACCTGAAGATGATATAAATAATATCAAAGTCAAAATATAAAATATGAACTGAGGGAAAAATTAAACTATAAATATTTTTTCGCATATTTTATTGCCCAAGTATTTGGCATGTTTTTGTTTTAGTTTATGACAAAGTAAAAATGGAAATGTCTTGATTATATAAATAGCAAGTGTTAAAATGTAACACGAATTACCTTCTAAGACAGTGTCTATGTAAACTGTTACTTACCAAAGCAAACAAAATGCGACTCGTTACATAAAAGTACTCTATGTTTATTATGTAGGCAATTAAATATGTTGAAAGGAGGATAAAAGCGAAGAGGTTAACATCCACCAGCGCCTGTCCACACCAATAGGCGGAAGGGAAAAGGCCTGAGATCCATAGCTGGGACTTAGCTCTCTTCTGATGAAAAAACACAGGATATATAGAGACTCAATTAAAATCTAAAACAAACACACCAGAAGATATTTTGAAGATAAACCTAATCTAATATTTTTAAATCTTCTACTAATTTTAATTATGCATGTACTGTTTTGGAACCTGAGGTCTCAAGGGCCAGTTCCATAAAATGGACTATTTTGAAAATGAGTCTTGTTTTATTTGATAGGTTTGATACACAACCCCCCTTCAACTCATGCACAATGAAGAGAAATGCAGATCTCATAATTATCAAGGAATTAATCTCCTTCAAAAGAAATATTATTTTGTGACCTGAAAAACAGTAAGTTCTCTATCAACCAAATATGCCCTGGGAGAATTGTGGCTCAGAATGGTGAAGGATGACTCATCTAAATCTTATTGAACTGTTTGCCTTAGATAATGGACATAACCAAATACAAATATAACAAAGAAAATTTATTCCCCACAGTAGAACGGGCATTCGAGTCTCAAATCTGGTCTTCAATATCAACATCAATGATATCTCCCTAGGAGTTAGGAAATAATATAATCAAAAGTTTTAGAGTGTTCCCCTTTGAAAGTTTAGATTAACTTGAATCCCTGTAAAAACGATTGTAGTTTTCCTATAGTTTTGAAGTAAAAAGTATTGTTTGTAGGAGTCAATTTTCTAACTTGATAGAACTCATGCTTAACTACATTATCTCAATTAAACATATGTTTAAATGTGTTTCTCACAGGAGAACATGTTGGACACATAGCATTTACAATACAATTACTGAAGTCCCTGAAGTTTCTTTTCTTTTTCTCCATTTTTCTTACTTTGTAATCGCTGACACTTCCCATGGCGATGTAGGGAGAAATGCTACGTGAAACGAAGAGTAAGAAGAGGTAGCCTTCTGGCAGCCCGGTCCATAAAATGTAATTCTGCAAATATAAAAGGTGCTTTAAACTAGTGAATATTTTTTTAAAGTTAACGAATACTAATAACCATAAGGAAATGTGGTTTTAGAAATGCGGAAACATATAAAAGTGTATGTCTATTTCATCAACATCCACGCATGGAGGTGGGTGAGAGAAATGATTGCGGATTATTTAACACGAGGCTTCAACTCCTAGGGAAAAAAAAAGAAGTAAAAAATAACTCAGGACTCACTTCAGGGAATATATGAAAAAGAATTGGAAGCAAGATCTCAAAGAGGTACACGTGTTCATAGCAGCATTATTCACAATACCCAAGAGGTGGAGGCAAGCCCAGCGTCCATGGACAGGTAAATGGATAAACAAAAGGTAGTAGATCCATACATGAAATACTATTCAGGCTTAAAAAAGAAGAAAATCCTGGTGCATGCTACAACATGAATAAACTCTGAGGATTTTATGACAAGGAAAAGTCAGTTACAAAACAACAAACACTATATGATTGTTCCTATATGAGATATCAAAAGTCGCCAAATTTCATAGAAACAGAAAGCAAAATACTGATTGCCAGGGTCGAGGGGAAGGGAGAAACGAGGAGTTCTTATTTAACGGGTATAGAGTTTTCGTTCGACAAGACGAAAAAGTTTGGAAGACCTGTTTCACAACAACGTGAATATACTTAACGTGGCTAAAATATTCACTTAAAGTGCTTCAGGTGGTAAATTTTATATTAGGTGGGTTTTTTTAAACTACAATATGGAAAATAATAATTCACGAGTTATAATCCTAGAGAAAGAGATTATTCGGGCCTGAGCAGCACATCTTTCTCAGGAAGCCGATTAGTATGGGTAGGGGAAGATTTGGGCAGCTCGATGCGTGTTGTGAGGCACAGACCTAAAAAGAAAACTCGATGCCACTGAGCCCATCTTCAAGGACACGTACTGCAAATCACCATCCCCAAATCAGTGTCTGCCTGAGGCTGGGCTTCTGCTCAGATTGGGTACAGGACCACTGCCTGTGCAGTAGCCTGTCTCTAAATAATTCCACAATTCTCTAACTTGACTGAGGGCTTTGGGGATATCAAGTTTTCACCAGGGGAATGCACTACTGTCTTCATAGGAATGGCTGAGAGAAGGGCCGGCCGAGTGGCTCAGTTGGTTAAGAGCTTGCTCAAGAGTGCGAGCTCTGAGCAACAGCGGTTCGATGCCTGGCCTGAGCTGAGTTGCCGCTGAGCTGCCAACAGGTGGCAGGATGGCTCAGCTAATAAAAAAAAATTTTAAAAAAAGATGGCTGAGAGAAGAAAGGTATGTGCCACTGGGGATGCTAAGAGTGTAACCATGGGGCCTTGGTTCATTTCGATCTGGAACAAACAAGTAATGACATGAGGAAACTAAAGGACCAAGAGGGGGTCACATCTATCTCTTCCTACAACCAGCTGGTTCCACTTACACGAGAGTTCCCTTTGGATGCCACTGCTTTGGAATCGTCCCTGCTCTCATGGTCAGTGGTGGCGTCAGCTCACAGATGCATACGTCCATCATTCACCTCTCAAGTATATTCCACCCATCTGCTCCTGTGTCTATCCCCAGCACTACGAAAGCCATAAAGCCAAAACCGAATTCGACCCCTTTGTCACAAAATGGGTGTTTCTTTTTGGAGGCTCCGTTTCTAGTCCTGTTTCTTGCTCTTCCAACCTCCTGGTTTGAAACAGGTGGAGTCAGCTTTGAGAGATCCCTCTTGGATATCAATCAGGCTCTGACCAGAAATCCATAACCACCTTCAGGTTTAAGATAGACTGAAATTAATCCTGCAGTGGTTACATGGGGGAAAGAGCAGAAAAGCCAAGGATGAGGGAGTGAGAAGCTACTGTCACTTCTGGGTTGGAGGGACAAAGGAAGGAAATGCGGTGACTGAGGCCCGGGTGTGGGATCCTTCTGTTCTCCTGGCTCCTACCGCTGCTTCCAGTTGTCTAAATCCACGCTGCGGACAGCTAACAAAGAAATTTTGCAAGTGTAGCTTGTGTGTATCAGACACACCTGCAATGCAGAGCAGCTATGGGTAGGTGAAGAATTCATCAAAAGCATACAGCCCAAGAACTGGCAAATTCTCCTTCCTATCAGTCAGTCTACTACCCATTTATTCAATGAAGGGTCCATTAACAAATTATGTTAGATTTATAAGACTTTATAAGCAGATTTCCAATTCAGAACACACACACACACACACACACATACACACACACACACACACACACACACACAATCACTCTCCAATATACTCCTGCAATCAAGTATGTATCTTTTCAGAAGATTCTATAGGAAACTATGACATAATATGGAAAAGTGTCCCCCATAAGAATTCTCTGATAATAATAAAGAAAAAAATCATATTCTACCTGTTTAAAATGGCAGGACAACATTCATGTTTTAGGATTAACAATCATTTAAATATTTAAAAGCTAAAGAGGGAAAACATACGTTGCTTGTCAAATTCCTAATTGTTCAGAATGAGTAAGTAAAATACTTACGAAAGGCAATACACTCCTCTCAGTTCGAATATACTGTGTATGATTGTCAAGCATTCGAAGCAGCCCATTGCTGATAATATTCATAAGAACAGGAAAACAGTGCAATCTCTTGGTATGGCATACAGCTGAAAATCTATAATCCTTCAAATAAAACAAAGACAAATAAAACAATGCTAATTCTAAACCATTAAAGAACAAAGAAAAAGGTTTTGTATAAAGGATCCCAATAGTGACACGTTCTGGCTATGTGACCGTCTCCAAGTTAACTGACTTTTCCGAGCTTCAGTGTCCCCATCTGTGAAAGAGTATAATAAACGGGTTGTTGTACAGTTTAAATGATATGACGTATATTAGGCCCTAGCACAGTGGATAGCACAGTCAGAAATATACATATTTATGAGAAACAGTAATTTTATAGAGATCATTTTGTTCTCATTTTGCTGATAAGGAAATTTCAATTGATGGAACTGAAAAATGGCCATAACCAGGAAATGCTGCAGTTTACAGTGAGCAAGCAAAGGAACCCTGATTTTTTGGACAGGAGATAAGCATCTGGTTCGTAAAATATTCGTGGTTACATGGCCAGGGAAGCATTTTCACACATGTTTTGACAATGTTTATGTTCTTCAGGTTTATGAAAATGTTCATGCAGTCATCAAAAGGCTCAATATTGTTTAAATATTACCAATAATTCATGGAATAAATATGTTAGATAAGTTACATGTTTATTTATTTATAAAGCAACCTGCCGAGCAATGTAGTTCCCACACTGAGATTATTTTTTTTTATGATGTATTTAGTTTAGATAGAACTGAATTCAAAGATACCTCTTCAAAGGCTTTTGGTTTTTTTCCTTCCTGTCAAGAAATAAAGAGGTAGCTTCACTTAATTTGGATCCTTGCTTTTCCCTGGAATGTAATACTCAGAGTTTACTCATGATTAGGATGTATTTTCAAAAGACTTACTTCTGGAAGGATCTCTATTGCTTGTACTCTTTATCCAAATTGAAACATGTTAAGACAGTAGGCTGAGAACATTTTTCTCAGAGACTTCAGGTGGCTATTACAGTATTTAATATATTTTCTCAATATATGAAATGACTGTTTCGATAGCTAGCCATTAATAAATAAGATCCCTTAAATTCATAATGATAGTGGTTGGTAACTACAGATTCTAGTATTTTATCGAGTCTGAATAATGCAATTATATTTAGCTACTTTCAAATGTTAAAGTCATCTCATTCAAAAGTTTACAAAACTTTTTTAAGCTTCATAGATTATTTAACAATGACCCAAAATGTTTTTGAGTCAAGTTGCTGTATAGTAGCTGGGTTGACTTTCTGAGGTTTTTAAAACAGTTCAAATGTAGCACTTTATTAATGTGTTGTTGGTTTTTTTTCATAAAAGCAAAAACAAGAAGCAAGAGGCAAACACACCTTTTGTTTACCAGAAACTATGATAGCTCCATTGTATGACAAGTCATCAGTGGTTCTATTCTTAAAGTCATCTATTTCCAAAAGTATATTCTGATGCTTCAGTGACTGTATAAAATCTTCAATATTTGATTCTAGAATGAAATCAACAACAGTGGCCATATAAAGCAAGAACGTATCTGTCAATTTTTATAAATAAACCACACACACACTTTAAAGTCAGCATTTATGTTATATGAAGGCATGTCTCTTTGGGCATCACAATAATAATACTGGCCCATGAAAGAGAACTCACTCTACCATCTTCTATTTATCAAATCTTACTCTGTGATGAATTAGCTTTATAATTCTGTTTAATGTAAATTAACATATAACCACTAAAACAAGGTAATTCTATTTTATGACTTGGTTAAAAATACATTTGAACTCCATAATTTGTGGAAATACAATAATTATATAAGGAGTACTTCAAGTTCTCTAGCCTAAAAAGGCCAATAGTAACACTCCCCTCACTCCCTTGATTTTTAAATAACAGAAAAGTAAATCTACGTACGTATATGTATAACACATGAATGTATTTTACATATTTACATATATATTAATTACATATATTACATAAATATATTTTTTCCATAGGAAGTAGGGAATGAAAAGAGTGCCACTATCAGACAAAGTGTTTGATCTGCTCCTAAAGAAGAAAGCAGATGAGATCGTTTGACAGGGAAACTGAGAGCTGAGAAAAACCCACGGCCTAGAGCACACAGGTAAGGGTAAAGCCAGTTTCCAGGCTATCTAACATCAAGAGTGAACACATTCAAGAGGGCAAAGGAGGCAGGGAAGCCACAGTCCGGCTCATTAACTGGTCAACCACACCTGGAACAGGTGACCACAGGCCCCGCCCAGTATTCCCCACAGAGCAGGTGGTAGCTACAGTGGTCATCAGGATATGAGTCCCCAGATTCACTTTCTAAGAGACATTATCTGGGGAAAACAGCGTGGCAAGACCTACAGTAACACCAGGCAACTAAAAGGACAGGGTGTAATGGCAAAAGTGGGGGGCAAAAGAATTCTCATTTTTGCTCATCTGGACTTTGATGTGGGAGTTCCAACGGGGAACAGACAGGTTCTGGCATCAGAAAAATGGGGCCAACCACTGGACAAAACAGGGTTCCCACCAGGTGGGAGGGACCATCCACGTAGAAAATAAGCTTTTCTGGCATCCGGGGGTAGCCACACAGTCACTCGAGGGAGGATACCGTAACGGTGACCCACATTCACCAAGGCAAACAGGGGTTCTCCAGTTTCAAGATGAACATCTTATCAACAATTGTCAGATTTGGAGAGAAAGGAACAAGACGGCACAGAAGCTCCAAACTGAGATCACAGGATACCTAACCACTGAGTCCAGAGAAGAAAGGATAACTGCCTGACACAGGTGTATTGTTCTCAGAGGAACTGGAGATGGAAACACATACATGACACAATAACAAGCATCTGAAAGGTAGAGAAACAATTCTAGATCTGGAAATCAAACACACAGCACTTTCAGTATTAAGGTACTAGAATGAATAAAATTTAGTCTCTAAAACCCAAATGGAAAAGAAGAAGAGACAGAAATGAAAAGTCCACCTTTGTTTAAAGAGCAGACATCTATAACCCTGAGTCCTAAATGTGTATGAAAATTGGAGTGGGTGGGGAAACTCTTCAAGAGAGGACTCCTACTCTGAATATATGTTTTTAACATCTTAGGCAGACACAGAAAAGCTTCTTCAAAGTTAAATAAGCAGTAGGTGTAAGCAGTTAGAACTAATTACCCATCATCTAGGATAACAGGTACCAAATTGCCTTAAGAAATCTTCCTAGAGCCTGTTGGATCTGTATATGTCAATCAGCATGTATAATATGTAAGGTAGAGGTTGGGCTGCTGTAACAAAGAGATCTCACAATCGAGTGGTTCAGTCAACACAGAGATTTGTTTCTGTCTCACATAACAGCTCAGGACCATCAGGTACCTCGGCAGCTCTGCCCTACCAGGTTATACAGTGACCCAGGATCCTTCTATCGTGTCCCACCATCGTCACCATCTCTAAAATCAGGGCCAATGCACACAGTTTCTCAGAAACTGTTTTCTATACATGACGTCTCAATACACATTTTCTTCTTTTATGATTTGCGTTTTTCTCTCTACATAAAAATAATGTATTTCTGGATTTAAATTTTGTTTTTCTGTTCACCTGTGTTATTGATGATCAATAGACTGGTAAGAGAGTCTTGGGGAAGTTGTCCAGGAGAGAGGAAATACAATCCAGGTTTAAATTCCCAATCGCTCCTTTGAACTAACACAGCATCAAATATTGTTTCCACAATCAGAGGGAACAGGGCGATTCCAAATACCAATAGTCTACCAATAAAGAAAAATTACCATATGAATCTATAGCAATTTTATTTATTCCGGCAGACATTTCACAAATATTTGCATACCAACTCTACTCCACACCAGCCATAATGGTTAAGTGCTAAAATTTTGAAAGGCATACCTTAGCACGCCACACAGTGCTAAGAGGTGCTGCTACATAAACATCAGGCTATCAAACTATGAAAACCAAACAGACCTGTGTGTAAGACTGACCAAGTGCTAACATATAGGTATTCACACAGTCAGTACAATCAAATGCTGTCTTTAGCCGTCCTCTGGGAGGAACACTGGGTATCACATTCTAGTTCTAAATTCTCTTCTGGTTGAACCCTTTCCTGAAACTCACTATTCAACAAAACCACAGTGCTCTGATACTCACAGGGTCAAAAGTGTTTTCTTTCCACGTTTTAACTGTAAGAAACGGAGCCATGCTATTGCACAGGCCTGCATCCTCCAGAGTTCCCAGTTACTCACAGCCTTCCGTGTTTCAGGGACGGAAGAGCAAGCCGGCTCCAAGCCACGCAGGCTTCCTGTGTCTTTTCTCATCTCTGCTTGTTCAAAATCCACACACACGCACACATATACACACACACGTGCGCACACACACGCACGCACACAAACACACACAAATTATTAATGCCGTCATCACAGTTTCTTTTTTTCGTAATATTAAAAATTGTTTTACAATGTTTATGGTTATGAAACAAACAATATAAGCAACAAATTATGTTTATCATGTCCACATTCAATAAACTTAGTGATAAAGTATTCGGAATTCATACCAAAAGAAGAATTTAGCCAAGGGTGATCTCATTATGCCCAGACTTTGAAATGGCATAGAAAGTCCCATGTGTAACAATATTCTGAGGGGTTTCAAGAAATCTCCTCCATAGGAATGGCCAATCATTGATGCCTAAATCTCTACTATTAAGCTGTCAGTAATTTAGAAGGGTAGGTAAAGACTACCAGCTCTGAAACCACAGGATCTGTACATGATTTCCAAATATATGATTTACAGGTATATATAATTTGGGGCAAATCACTAAACTGCTCTTAGGTCTGATTTTCTCCTATATAAAATGGTGCCAATGATACCTTTTGGAATGGTTATTGTAGGCAGGCAATGCAATACATTCATGCGTTGGTCAAAGTGTCTGGCATAAACGATCCATAAATGACAGCTTTTACTATTATCACCCATTAAAACACACAGGAGATGATCGTAACCATTTTCCCCATTTAAACCTTACTGGAATTTTGTATATGAACAAGCTAAGAGCAATTTTTGTAAGAAATGTCTGCTCAGACTTCAAGACCCTGATTGACAGCCTTTCACATCCTCAAAGTATCCAAGAAGCAGTGAGCCTCTGGGAAGAGGAGGAAGCTGCTGGAACAGGAAGAAAATAGTTTTTGGAGAGAAATCTGCTACATTCCAAGGAAGGATCTGTGTGCAGTCCTAGTTATGAGGTTAGGGAACAATGACAGCGCTTCCCAAAAAGCAGAGTCAAATTCAGAATTAGTCACATTCTTTCATGCGAATCATGTGTAAGACATTATATATAAATACTAAATTGATACATGGCCATTTGGAAAATTGATTTTATATGAATTATACGAATGGATTTACCTTGTTCGATAGTTGATTTTGCTTCCAGCTTCATGAAGACTTCATTCAGATTTGACATGGAAATGTCGTAACTCATCACACCCTGTCCAGAACCCTTGTCAAGGTCACTGAAAAGGACTAAGCAACAGACATGAATGGATACATTTGAAAAATACCACATTGATAGCTTAACCTAGTAAATTAACACATTTAAAAGATGATGCAGAACATTGTTCAGAAAATTATGTCTTTGTGATACCACAGTAAGCAAAAGCAAAAAAATGTCACTGGAAAGCTCTCCCTCTCTGAACCTCTCTCTCTATCCTCAAAATGTCTGCATTCTATCGTCTAGTCTCAGCTCATGAACTTCCTGCAAACTTCTTGAAGAAACATGAGCAATTGGAAAGAGTTACCCAGATTCTGTCTTCCTTCTTGTAGAGGTGCAAGATTTGTAGTTGTTCCCACCAACAGTTACCTCTTTGACTTGTGTTCTGAATTCCATCCCCTTTGGGCATCTTGAGATCTTCCAAAGTAATCTGAGCTCATATGCACACTCTCTCTAATTCATATCTCTCTCTCTCTCCCTCTCTCTCCCCCGTGAATCATCAATTTCTCCTACATGTACTGGACCATCCAAACAGGAGGCAAAAATGCTGTAAGGTCACCCATTAAACAAAGACAAGCAACAGAAAAAAAAGAAACAATAATCTCCTCTACACACACACACACACACACACACACACACACACACACTGCAAAGGCTTGTATACTTAACTGCCTTTAATTTGTCACATCCTATACAACGTAACCCCCCAAATCCAAATGCTATCCCTATCCCTCCATAGCAGCTGCTCTTTTCAAGGTCACTGCATTGCAGAGGCCTGGTTATGTGTAAGGAGGCTGCTGTGGGCTGGCACATCAACACCAGGGACTCTGGCTAAGTGACATATTCCTGTGATGGTATCAGCATATAACTCACTATTCTCCTTACCCTACCAGAAAAGAAGGTGGGCTAATCGCGCCTCATTGGACATTAGTCCAAGGACAGAATAACACAGTAGAGCCCATCCTCCACACTACTACAAGGACAGAGAGAGCTGCCATATTTGGGGGTGGGACTAAATCTGAATTCCCGAGTATCTGCCTAATCATCATCTGAATCATTCAAAAGAGCCTGTTTAAATCAGGCTTGTAGGGAGCTAAGCCTGTAACAAGCTAAATGTTTAAATGAAAAGGGAGCTGTTTAAATCAGAAAATACTCAGATGAATTTCATCATAGCGCCCACCTCACAGAGCAGATGTGAGGACTACATGAGTTGATCTATATGGAACCATTGGAATAGGGCCTGAGTCATAGTAAGCACTATACAGTTAGTGATTATTAGGATTACTTATGAAATGAAGTCTGTGTTGGTATCACTACCGAGCAGACAGGAAACCCAAAGTGAACTCTTCTGTAGGATAAATAAACTATGCTTTTCTCTGTGAAATACATACCTCCCCAATTCAATGAAAGTATAAAGGGGAACCTGTAACAGACACCTATGCCCCACTCTCATCTCTCCTGCCCCCACCTACGCACAGGGAATCTGCTTATTCCCAACACCTGCCTGAGGGCATTTTTCTGGGCTCTTAAGTATGCTCAGCTGATGTGGAGCACAAGCCAGGTGGGTCAGAAAGTTCATGCTCCTGGAAGCATCTCTTAAACAGTGATGGGCACGGAGTGGCAAATAAACACCCCAGTTTTCTCACCCGTCTGGTGACATAACTCTGGGCCCCTCATTTATTCATGTTTCTCCCAGAGGTATCACACCTCAATTGCTTATTGCAATAACCTGCTCAGTGATGCAGACTTCCCGGGCTGTCTTCCCGCCCCTCTCTCGTGAGCCCATTCCCTACTGCTGACTCGAGGCATCAATTACCAAACAATTACGAAAATCTGCCTCTCAAGTTCTGCTTCTCAGAGAACGAAACATAACACAAAATCCAACTCCATTAAGCAGTGAAAGTTGTGATAATGTGAACACTTGTTCCCAAATTTCATTCCATTGTAATCATATTTAAGTTACCTGGAAATTTATTTGTCCTTTCCACAGGCAAAGTATACACAAGCTTGTCTTTGCTTTCTGTTTTTAATTTAGCATCAGGGATGTGATGATTAATGAAGGATGTTATTTTTTCTGGATCACACATTTCATTTCTGTACAAACTAATATTTAAAAGAAAAGACAATTCATTTGTGTTTTCTCCAGTGCTGTCACAAAAGAAGAGCTTTTATTGAATATATAGCTTTTGAGTACTAATTTACTTGGTTTTAGGAAACAAAGTGAGTAAATAATAATACTAATAATGCCATCAGTTTGAAAAATCTGATCTATACAGAGGAGGTGTATAAACTCAGAACAACTACAAATACACAAACAAATACGTAATGGAATTGAAACTATATATCAAGTAGGAAGATAAACAGAAGAAGGTGAGATTATTAGGCAAGAGACTTCTTAGGGAAAATAGTTACTACACCAAACCGTGTAAGTATCAGAAATGAGCGGCTAATAGGGAAATTTGGCCAACACGTATGTTTTGTTTGACCAGAGTTTTTGTTTTTAATTCTTTTTGCCTGAACACACCTTCTCTGCCACCAGATTTACTCTCATTTTTGATACTAGCTTCTGAAATTATTTGATTTTGTGCCCTATGAGAGAAGGAAAATATGTTGCAGGATTATATGGATCAGCTGAGAAAAATGGCGGGTGGGAAGACAGTACAGGTTTAGGCTGCACAAAGCAACTACCTGCAAAGTGGTCCATGAAGTAACCCTGCTGTGATCTCTCGGCCTGGGCTTATAATTTCAAATTTTTTGCATATCACGATGAGGCAGGAATGTAAAAAAAGCATTTGGGAAACATTGATCAATACAAATTGGCAAAGATTAGCATAAGGCCAATTCTCTCTCATAGTTGTCTATCTTTTTGATAAATCACTATTCAAAAAATATTTATTGAAAGATAGACAGATGATAGATAGATAGATAGGTAGATAGATAGATAGAGATATCTCCAATCTATCCCCAATGTCTTTACCTTAAGTGATATCCAAGGCCCCATTTTTTCTTCAAAAACACAGAAGAGCCTGCACACTTCAATCTCCCATTGGACATGATCACTTTTCTATCTGAGTAGAAAGAAGCAGCAAAGGATAACAGGGGTCATTTCTTCCCTTTCTAGAAAATACAGCTGATGAGCCAAGGCTCAGGTTTCCAGAGAAGTGTTTGGTGGAGCATTGTTATATATAATGTCCATTTAAAATGTTGAAACACACATTAAAATTGATGCATTTAAAATGAGTTTATGAATTCCAAGACATTTTAGTGCCCTCCACTACTAAACACAAAAACAAACTAACAACAAAAAATCCCTCAGAAATTACATGTACATTTTTTTACTCTGAATGCTAAAGAATGAGTGGATAGTTTTCAACCAAATATATATTAAAGAAGATTTGGATGTTTAAATTAATCAAAAGCTGATCTGAAAAAAAAACAACTCACAATTTTTTATTAATGTCAAAATTTAGTAAGTAAAGAGTCGGCGAGGAATTCTGCTGAGGGACTAGACTCCTGTCACCCCCCGCAGATGGCTAAGTAATAGAGGCACAAGGCACTGAGAGAAGGCCTCTTGCCCTGGGAATAAATATTTCCCCAATTCTTTATTCTAATACTGAGGTAAAATCAATAATTACCAGCTAGGATGTCAGCCTCATCCACGAAATTGGTGCTCAAGAGCGTCACACGGTCTGCTTTCCGCTCCTTGAGGAGATTCCATACTTGATGCCTTGAAAAGGGATCCAGTCCAGCAGTTGGTTCATCCAGTAGCAAAACCTACAGAGGACGAAGACATATAAAATATGTCTGTCTCCCACGTTAACTGTTTCCAGATGATAGCATGGGTAACAATAAAAGCCAAAAAAATCACAATAACCATCTAACCAGTGATGTCCAATGGACTTATATTCTCAGTTAAACATGGCACATTCTCTCTTGACGCATTACAAAAAGCTCTGCTACTTTTAGTGGTAAAAGAAAAGCTTGCCTCTTTACTGCTATTCAATCTGCATTCCTCCCCATGCATCATGGCACTTACTTGAGGGTCTCCTAACATGGCTATCCCGAAGGTCAGCTTTCTTTTCTGTCCTTCACTTAAATGTTCAGCAAGGTTATCCTGAATGTTTTGTATGTCCAACTCCAATAAAATTCTCTGTACCTACACAAGAAAATACGCAAAGCTTAACATCCAAGATGATTCATATTAGGCAATTTGAATGGTTACAGCAGTAGATGTTTTTAATAGGACCTCAATGTCTAAATTTTATTCACAACAGGATGGGTCAATCACGGAGGGGAATTCTGTGGTCGTGATTTAATTTGGCAAAGGGCTGACGGCTGCATTGATCCCAGCAGGCCCACCTACCTCTGGGCCCACTTCCTGTGGCAGAAGCCCTTTTATTTTAGCAAACAGCCTGAGGTTTTCCTTCACAGTGAGGATGTCAAATTGAACATTGAACTGAGGACAAATACCAGTTATCTTCCTGATTTCCTCCAAGTCTTGCATTTCATAGAGATTTTTATTGTAGATGGTAACCGATCCTAAGGTGAGAGGTGAAAAATTATTTAACCTTAGCAAGACAATACATTTTATTAATGCTTGGAGATCTTCTTCAGGAAAATACTGGCATATGTATACAAACATCTAAAATGATGACTCCATAATTTACTGACGATAACTGTTCTTACCATAAATGCCCAGTGTAGTGGATAGTTCCCATGGAATATCACATAGCAATGGAATGCAGATAATGAGTTTCATAAAAACTTGGGAAATATCAAATATATTCAAAATCATATTGTTCTCATAAATAACTTTAGGTAAACATTATTTTGTCATAAGTAGTCAAATTTAAACCTTAAAATGAGAAAGGATACATATGGCTTCATTCTATTATCAGACATCTTGCTTCTGAGAAATTTCTTTTTGCTCACCTGATGTTGGAACAGACAACCCACTAAGGATGTTTAGTAATGAAGATTTGCCAGCTCCACTATGACCCAGAATTGCTGTGATTTGACCTTCATATATGTCAAAGAGCAAGCCTGTTTTTAGAATAAAATAATAACATTATATAGAACAGGGCATTAGACAGGGCTGGTTCTAAAAACAGAAGAAAATTTACTTTATGTGTGTTCTGAAACACTTTAATAGTTTTAAAAATATAATATTTAATTTCTTTGGTTGCTAAAATAACATGCTTACTGCAAAATATTTGAGAACTAAACAGTCATTTAAGAAGATAAAATTAACTATAATTCCAAATATTAACACTGTAATACACTTATCTTTAGTGTATATGCATATATGAATATGTAAATATATATTTACCAACTTTGATCACCCTCTCTTCTTTTCTAACCTATATCCTCAAATATTAAATGATAAACATTTTCCATAGCATTAATTACCTTCTAAAATATATTCTCCAAAAATGTATATTTCCCCCATGCCGATTTTTCTATTCTTTCATGATAAACTTTTTGCATTTACATGTCAGTAGAAAAATCATTTAGTTAAGAATCTTTTCTTATATTTGGTTTGTTTGCCTTACCACCAAGTGAAAATCAAACTCTATTATGGGAAGTTGTTGGGCAGAGTATGATGAAATTCTTAAGACTTTTATAATGAATATTATCTAAAAAGATCAGGTCTTTTCAATTAAATTTCGTGAGCTACTTTCAAACATTATTGAAATTAATTAATGGCCAGGCTAATTTCCAGTTCATCCATTTTTATCTAGATGATTTCAGCTAAACTAAACTCTATAAGGTTTGCTTTACTCAGCTATGAAGTGTGCTAGTAATAATGATTACATGTAAAGAGAAAATTCTATTGTAATTCAATCCATTAAAACCCTCACTTACAATTTGACGTAAAAGATTATAAAGATCATTGGAGAATAAACTCAAATAATTAAGAAAATTAAAGAATACTGTGAAATTAATCTTAGCTACACAGTATTAAAATACACTGCAGAACTATAATAATTAATATAATATGTATGGGTCTAGGATGCACTGACCAGTGGGATAGAATTAAAGCCTAAAATGGACCACAGGACACATACAAAATAAACAAATACATTAACACATTTTATGTTTACTTTTGGTTTTAAATGGGAAAAAACTAATGTGTTTTCAAGGATAAGGGAAAAGTGATGCTATTATCCTGGAACTGACCCATATTAACTGGTAAAAAGAAATATAAGCTTCAGTTTCCTCATCCGCAAAATGAGAGATTGTATATCGTATTGGATTAAAAGACCATGCAAATCACTTAGCATAGTTCCCAGTATATTCAAGAAACATTGCGTGTTTGTTGTTATTACTATTGTTATTCATTATTGCTGTGGGAGCATGAATTTTTATAATCTTGAAGGGAAATTGTTTGAAGTATATGAATGGAGAATCTTAAAAATAAGGTCCCTTTGATTAACTCTGCTTCTAGAAATTTATATTCAAGAAACAATGATCTTTACAAAGATTAAACAAGAAGGTTCATTATAGTGTTTTTTTATGGTGGTGGAAATATTGGAAACAAACTAAATTTTATATGCTAGTGTGCTAGTTAAGTACATCGTGGTAGCCATACAACAGAATTCTATGTTGCCCTTGACAAACAGGCCGTCGATAAGGGATTTCAAAGGCATGTTCCCAAAGGTGTCCCAAAGCTGCCACCGGAACTCGCTGCATGGACAGGAGATGGCCGACAGAGTGCATCGCCTACTCTACATCTCAAAGGGCAACTCCAGTTCCTTGTTTCATGTATTTTTTATGCATGGATGGTCACTGCTTCTAATTTTTTTAAGGCGCTACTACTTTTAAAAATAGAAGAAATCCTTGCAGAAGTTGAACGCGTTTAGACATAAAAAGATGCTCACAGATATTGATGAGTGCAAAAGTAGCCCATAATATGCTCTGGAAATGGAAATAATAAATTTAAAAATACTTCAATATATATCTTTGGCTAAAGTTAAAGCAATTAAAGAAATTAAAATTAAAGGAAGACCACTGATCTACATGGTATTTGATGAGAAAAACCTGGGGGTGAGAATAAACTTCTGAGAGAAATACATGTATTTCTCAAAAAAAGATCTAATCTCAATGGAATAAGTAAGACTGAGTTAAAGGATGTTACATTTGCTAGAAAACAAACACAGTATAAACACAATGGGCAGAGAACTAACTCAGCCTTAGGGAGGAACCTTCTTTTCTAACTTTTAAGGCTTCTCTGTCTCTTGTAAAATAATTTACATTCCTTCTTAAAAATCACTATTAAGAAAAGCAAGCTGTCCTCTATAAAACGTAGCCACTAACTTTGGTGCTTAAATATTTGTTATAGAAAATTATATTAGTTAGAATATTTAGTATCAAGTATGTTGGTTCATGCAAAACTACGAACTATAATATGTTTGTCATAGGAAATTGACTTGTGAAATTTAATTCATGGTCAATGGTCTTACTTATTTTGTTTTAGTTACTCTCACCAGTACATGTAAACTATGTGAATTTCTTGGCTAGTACAAAAAATTTGATCAATTTTAAGTCTAGATGTTCTTTCTTCATGGTGCAAATAAAGTATAATATTCCTTATAGCAAATTCATCTTAGAAAACAAAGCAAATTTGCATTTTTCATCATATGATCCCGTTTTTGTAGATTAAAGATTCACGAAACATTCAGAAGGATTTTACATTCGGTTCTCAATCATGGTGAATTTCCAGGTGGTGGAGTTCGACTGTACTCTTTTTTTCTTTTCCTGTTTTGCTTATTTACATTTTCTAATTTTTCACATTGACTTTTCCCCATTTTTTGAAATAAAGAAGTCAATAAAACAATGCAATGTTTTTCTTTACCTTTCAATACTTCCACTTTTCCAGACTTCTCTTTATATACTTTTTTAACATTTCTGATTCTGAAACGACAAAAAGGGTGCTTACTTAGCCAACAGAGAAATAAAAATGGTACCGATCATGAAAGAAAAAGACAAAGACTCATTTTTTAATTAATTATTTCCCGAGATAGAAAATACGTCTTTTTAGAAACTTACGGTTAAATTACTAGTGCTTTGCTTAGAAAAGTAGAATGCTCTGTAATCGTCCTTTTTTCCTCTAGTCTTAGAACACCTGGGGTTTTCCCCACTCTTTGAGATCAGCTTATTTATCTACATTCTATAACCATCATCTCCCAAACCCTCCAAGTCGTGTTCATTAATCAGACCCTCTGTCACCTGCATTTTCCTCTCTGATAGCTTCTGTTTGGCCACTATCTCTGCTTTAGATATGATCAAATTTCTCTCTCTCCCCTAATCTTAAAAAGAAATTCTTAAAAGTGTAAACTGGACATCTCCACTTCCTCACTTCTCATTTACTCCTCAATCAATTGCACTCTAGTGAACCTCTTCATACTGAAATCATTAGTGACCTCCTAATTACTAAATGCAACAAATACTTTTCCATCCTTACTTATTAGGTTATGAGTCACTGTTGATGACTTTCTCCTTGTTAAAAGTGTCTACTTTCAAGGTGACATTCCACTTTATTGGTTTTCTTCCTATTTTTCTAAATGTTCCTTCTGTTTCCTGAAAAGGTTCTCTTCTTTCATCAGACACATTATCTTGGTGTTCCACGGGGTTCTCTATGTATCTTATGGGTCATCTCACTCTAGACTGTTGATGGATTCTCTCACTGATTCTCATGGTTTCAACCCCAGCCGAATGTTGACCGCATCCTTGTCCCCTATGCTTTATTTAGGCTCACAGAGCTAAAGGTTTGCTGGATTTCTTCACCGAGTATCACAATCTCACTCACAGAGATTAGAGATGCCATGACTACATAAGATCATGTACAATGAATCTTCAAGTTCAAAGGGAAAGAGATTTATCACACTCTCTTCTGAGCATGAATGACAATAAAGGTAAGGATATTTATTCAACCAGGATGCTGGTGGTAGGTGGGGTTACACCAGAGTCTGGAAATTTAAAAGAAAAAGCTTAAAATGTGCTGAATCTGACCAGGTATTTCATTTCTGCCTTTCTTTGTGTAGTGGGACACCCCTTGAAGTGGGGCTCTAATGTTTTATTTTAATAAACTTCCATTTAGGAGCAGCTGGCTGTTTTTGTTGCTGTTTTTAAAAAATTTTTTCAATTTTTCAATTACAATTGACATTCAATAATACTCATATATTAGTTTCAGGTGTACAGCACAGTGGTTATGCAGTTATAGAATTATGAAGTGATCCCCTCAATAAGTCTAGTCCCTGGACACCATACATAGTTACTACAATATTATTGACTATATTCTCTGTGCTGTACTTTACATCCCCTTGACTATGTTGTAACTGTCAATTTCTACTTCCTAATCCCTTTACCTTTTTCACCCAGACCCCCCTCCCAACACCCTTCTCCCCTGGCAACCATCAGTTGGTTGTTTTCGGATTTCAGAGATTTACGTTTGGGGTGGACACCCTGCCTATGTTCTGGGAATGCTGCATGAATGGTCTAAAGTTATAGGAATGGACAGATACACATACAAATGCCCCAGAGAAGACTGAGACTTGGGTGGGGACTTACGGGTAACAGGGAGCTAGCTGTGAATAAAAAATAGATATTTTTACAGAACCAAGATCTTGATTCAGGTTAGAACTCTGCAAGCTTTCCTCCATGCTTCCAGAGACATATAGCTGAAGGGCAGCTAGGGAAAGGAAGCATTCATTAGTATATAAAGCAGAGACTGCCTGGGGAAAAAGGAATTCATGTCTCAGTACCTTCTATGTCCATACAAAATCAAACTCACATGTGGGGGCTGACTGGGGTAGACCTGACAGGTACCTAGTGACAGGGAAGAGCAACTGCATTTCTAAGAAAAGGTAGCTGTGAAGAAAGAAGAGACGAGACTCGTGCACTGGGAACAGCATCTAATACTGAGGGGTAAAGGGGCGATTTTAGGTGGCCTTGCAACCCCAGAATCCATTTCAATAGTAACTGAGTGTGCAGACCTTACCACTACCGACCTGTGCCATTGGGCACCTCAGCCTACTTTGCTACTTTGGGGTGGCTCTGGGGTGATGTGTCCCACAATGGAGCCAAAAGCTTTAATGAATGAGCCTTGGATCAGGGGACTTTCCTGGGTTGTCAGTGGCCCCAGACCTCCGCTTTAGTGAAGAGTCTAGACCAGGGGCCGGCAAACTGCGGCTCGCGAGCCACATGCGGCTCTTTGGGTACTTTCTGTCTCAAAAGTTTGCTCACCCCTGGAAGAGACAATCCTGTCCCTCACAACAATTTAAAAATTATTCAAGAGCCATAAACATATTTTTTCATAATCATGATTATGTGAATAATATCCTTTAAAATTTTTATGAATGAAACTATGATAATTTTATTTTCATTTTCAATTTTACTTCAGAGCCACATATATGCTCCCAAAGAGCTGCATGTGGCTCGTGAGCTGCAGTTTGCTGACCCCTGGCGGCTCTTCCATCTCAAAAGTTTGCTGAACCCTGGTCTAGACTAAGTGACAAGGATGTCTAGAGTCAACACTTGCATAGGTTGGTCAAGGTCAGTGGGGAAAGGGACAGGGCTGCATGGGTGAGGACATTTCACTTTTCTGTCCTTCATTTGTACAAATGAACAAAGACCATTTTTCACTCTGTGTAACGAACCCTAAGACTCTCTTAGAAGACTGGATCTGAAAATTATTATAATTTGAATAGCAATATAATCTTATTTTTTGTGTTCTCCACTGGGAAAGAGGGACTAATGACATTGGAATTGAGTTTTTGGGAATTATTCCTCACTTGTCCTTTCTTTTTTGAACAGAGGTTTTCCATGGAGCTGGGGTGGGGGGAGGGTGGCAGTTGCCCCTCAGAAAGCTTAATAGAAAATAGGGTTAGAATTAGAAGAAACTGGAGTACATGGGTTCACCCTCTGCTCGTTTTAGAGAAGTATTTCACTTCCTAGTTATAGTTCCATTTTATTCATCTTGCTTTGCCTTCTGACATCTCACAATAGCCAGAGATTAAGAGCATAGACTCTGGAGCTAGACTGGTTCCAATCCCAGCTTCCGAGTTACAAGTGTGTGACACTGAGCAAGGGACTTAACCTTTCAGTACTTCACTTTCCTCATTTGTTAAATGGGCAAAATAGAAGTGCCTGCCTCATAAGCTTTTTGGGAGAATTAAATGTGTGCTTGGTACATGGTAAACACTATAAGGCTATCTTTTCATAAATAAAAGGTTAATATTTAAAACTCTCTAATTCTTTACCTTTAGTGCATAATATTTAGAAAAATCTACAGAGCTCTATAAAATCCAGATACTGGGGTTCAAGCCCACACCTCCTCAGTTAGAATTCCTGGAGGTGAGGTCTGAGAACACAGACATTTTAAGAGCTCCTCATACGAATCTGTAACAAATAACACTACAAAAGTAGATATTACTTTTGTTTCAGAGAGGACGCTGAGACTCAGAGCAACTTACCTGGTTTTCTAAGATTGCACATCAAATGAGAGGGGAGTGTGGTATTAAAATCTAAGAATTTGATCCCAAATTTCTTACTTCTCCCATCCTACCATATCCGCCAGAGGAAACTATGGAAGGAGGGATTTGGAGAAAGAAGAGAGTATAAAAGAGAGGTGGAGTGGCGGTGGGGTTGTGGGGGCAAGAGACAGAAACAAGGAGGGGAACAAGACAGACAGTGACGTGGTAACTGTGTGTGGAGCTAAGAAAGAGAATTTTCCTGTCAAGTAGCCATTAGGCGGCATTGGCGGTGATGGCCGTGGCACAGTGCAAAATGATATTAACAAAAACAGATGACTTCTTCCATATTTTGCCTCAGGCTCACTCTGCAGCTGTTGGTTAATAATTCATTAGCCTTTCACCCATATATCAGCATATGTGTGTTTACCTGATGGCCTCTTTGCCCTGAAATTCTGGAGCTATTGGTTCAAAATGATCATCAGTGGGATGCTCGGGGTCTATTTCTTGCTCAGTCATCTTATTAGTCCTCTGGTGTTGGAAACAAGGTGCTGAGTTCAGGAAAAATAATGGAGAACAGCGACGCTCATCTCCATCTGATTAATCAAGAGGCAAGAAAATATTGGATCAGTAACATTAAAGCAATGAGTAAAGAATTCCTGTTCAGAGTAATGCAGAATGTCTGGGACTTGGAAGCATCATAGAGTTCTTTTCTAACTTCCTATTCCTGAGAAGAAAACTTGATAACTAAGTAAAAAATGAAAATCCAAAGGCAGTAACATCACAAAAGTTAAACAATAGAATAGAACTTTTAACAAAGTATAAATCAAAGGTTTGAATGAAATGCAGTCTAAAAGGTATTTAGAAGAATGAATGAAACCAAATATTTGGGGGGAAAGTCTTAATATGGCATAAAATTAGTTATAAATGTATTTGTAAACTTAATATTTTGACCACAGCAACGAGATTCAACATAATACTGAAACCTATATGGTACCTGAATTAAAAGTATAGGGAGAAATTATATTTGTTCAGGATGAATACATGGTCATTTTCTAGGTTTTAAAAAAAATGGAGTTGTATTTATTATTAAGGGCCTTTGGATATAAACCAGAAGCGACAGAAAGACAGGAATACATACAGTCATACAAGACAAACTTAAATACAGTCAAAGTGGAAAGGAACATAAAAAATAAGAAGTATATACAAGGAAAACAAGCATTCTAATTCTAGAGTACGTGAAGGAATTCTGGGCTAGTGAAATTTTTGGTTGTGTTCAAGATAAAGGAAATCTAACTGGGTAATATACTTCTGTAAATATGAAGAATATATGAAAAATTTTCAGAATAATGCTGAAAACATTCTAATTTTCATTTTGTGATTTCCTTAAATAGCTCCTTCTCCTTCTAAAAATGGTCCTCCCAGAAATGGGGTGGTGGTGGGAGGTAGACACTGATTATTTCTCACTCGAGGTCCTTTCTAGCTGGGTTTAGTTTACAATCTGCCTCACATTCCTGTGAGAAGAATAAGTATTTACTAGGAAGCACTTCTGCTGTATGTGGGTCCCACACTAGCCAAAACCATCTTGAGAACTAATTTATTTCAGCTTGTTCTGATACAAATCCTAAATGTCATTCTTTGAAAACATTTTCAGGGACCCTTGAAAAAAAGTAACATTATGTAATACTATATAATTATAATATGTATTAAATGATCATTATTGTGTATTTATAGTGTATAGTATTATATTAAAGTCTGAAGAATGATTGTTTTTACATGAAAATTTTTCTCAGACCATTAAAACTAGGAAGTAGAAATACAGAACTCATTCAGCCTAAGATAGGAAATATTTGTTATTTTTCATTTTAAAAAATATATTTATATAACCTGAAGAAAAAATCTTTAATGTGACCAATATCTATAGAGATCAGAGAAAAATCCACTATTACTTACAGGGTAAGATTTTGTCAAAGTATAATGCCAATACCAAGTAGAAAAAAGCATCAAAAGCCAATATGAAAAAAGTTGCTATCATTATATATGAGTCTCCTGAAGGGTCAGGAAAAGTTATTCCATTCAAGTTATAATCCAGGTGGATAATCTAAGAGTCAAACAGAAATAATTATAAGTATTAAATTAAAGAAATAAAAATTCAGTACAGCAACAAAAATTATCATTTTATTAAGTAGCTTTTTCAAGAAGCTCTTATAATGAAATTATTAGTGAAACTATTTCTATTTCACAGCCATCAAAGGACTATTAGAAGAAAATAGTGATTTAAAAAACACAATGTTCTAAGAACAGGGATTTAAGTTATAATTCATTTGCTTGCTTTCATAAAGGCGATGCAATATTGCACAATATCTATCCTATGCAACCAAGAAATACAAATTTTAGAAAGAATATGAAGAATTCTTTGAAGCATCTTATTACAATACTGATGAGAGAACTTACCTTTTTCTAGTTATTACTACAAATAAATGTTTATATTTATAATTTTGCCATGTAATAATAGCCACTATGTTTTAAGCACTGTTCTAAGTACTTTTTATAGTATACAATTTAATCTTCATCATAACTCTGTGAGGCAGGCCTTATTATTTCTATTTGCATTTTACATACGATGAAACTGAGGCACAAAGATGAATAGCTTAACCAGGTGAAGCGAAAAGTCACATAGTGAGGATAGGCAAAGCAGAAATCAGAACACAGGAAGTCCAGCTCCCAAGCCCTGTTCCTGACCCTGGACACTACAAATTCGCAATTTATGTTAAAATGTTAACATTTCATGACAAAGTTGAGTTTATTCTAAAAATGCAAGTCTGGGTCGACATTTGAAGATCTATCAATGCAATTCAACATAAAACAGACTGAAGGAGAAAATAATGTGGTCAATCTAACAGATGCAGAAAAAGCATTTGATAAACTTCAATATCTGCTTATAATTTAAAAAGTTTCTTCACACACTAAGAGATCTGCCTTAATCTCGTGAATTAAATGTACGAAGACCAACACCAGAAATCATGCGTAATTGTGAAATATTGAAAGCTTGTTCTTTGCCTGCATTCTGAGTCAGCAGTGTACTAGAGGTCCTGATCTGTGCAGTAGGCAAGAAAAATAAATAACTGCATAAAGGTTGCAAAAGGAAAAAACATGATTATATAAAAGGAAATCCCAAGATAAAACCCTGAAAAACCTTAGATTTCATAAAAGAATATAGCAAGAATACTGGACATAATGCCACTGTACAGAAATCAGTTACACCTCTTTACATTAACAACACACATTTGGAAATAAGAATTTAAACACAGGTGCTATTTATAATGGCATTAAAAGTATGAAAAGTTTTGGAATAAATCAAACAAAAATGTGCAAGACTCTATACTGAAACTAAAACAATTACTAAGGGAAAATTAATATAAAGATATATTATGTTCATGATAAAAAAGGGTCAATTCTCTCCAAATTGATTGAAAAATTCAACTGCATTAAATTCTCAACAGCTTTGCACACTCTGTGTGTGTGTGTGTGTGTGTGTGTGTATAATTTGATAAGTTAAAATTTACATCATTGCAAAGAACCTAGAATAGAAAAGACGCTCTTGAAAAAGACAATAAAGTGGATGAATTATTACTACCAGATATGATGATATATTATAAAGCAAAAGAAGATAATGTGACAACAGTACAAAGATAGACATATGGGCCAATACATGATTGGTTGAGTTGTGACAAAGGACACCTGCAATTCATTTGGGGAAAGGATGGCCTTTTCAATAAATGGAGCTGAAGCAACTGGATATTCATATAGAAAAATTAATATTGCCTCTACCTATAGATACACAAAAGTTATTTAGAAAAAGATTTTATATCTAAATATAAAAGCAGAGTCAATCGTGCTTCCAGAATAAAAAGGTAGAAGAATCTCTATAATCTTGGGGTAAGCAATGATTTTTTCTTTTAAAAGATGTTTATTGGGAATTGGGGTATAGGAACAGTGCTGGGGAATTAGGGGAAGGGGAACAGACAAGTTGCTGTCATTTTGTTCTTCAGTCTAGTTGTGGAGGACGTTGCTTCACTGGCCCAAGTTGGCACCATCATTGCGCTCTTCCCCGGGCGAGGCAGATCAGTCACCGGCTTCTGGATGGCTGCTCACAGCAGCTGCTGGCCGCTTACGCTGGCTGCATATGGTAGCCCATGGCAACCCACTGCAGCAGGGACTGCAGCCCACACTGTCGCCAGCGACTCATGGCAGCCCAGCTCCAGGCTGAGCTGTTGTTCAGCATCTTAGCTGTAGAGGGCAGTGTCACTGGCCCTCATATGTGGGATCCGAACCGGGGTCCTCTTGTGTCCCAAGGCAGCTCTTAACCAATGCACCACTCGGCTGGCCCAATGAGTTTTTTCTTTTATTTAAGTATATAAGTATGGTTGGTATACAATCTTATATGTTTATATTAGTTTCAGATATACAATATAGTGACTCAACATTTTCATACCTCACAGTTGTTATCACTTCATGAATTACAGCCATCAGTTGTAACCATGCAAACTTACCACAATATTAGTGTCTGTATTCCCTTTCTCCTTTTCACCAATCCCTCTACCCACCGCCCCTTCTGGTAACTATCCCTTTGGTCTCAGTTTCTGTGAGTCTATTTTTGTTTTTAGATTCCACATACAAGTGAAACTATATGGTATTTGTCTTTCTCTGCCTGACTTATTTCACTTAGCATATGATTTCTTTTCCTTTATTTTTTATTTTTTATTTTTTTTAGTTTCAGGTGTACAAAATAATGCAATAGTTAGACATTTGTATCCCTCACCAAGTGATAATCCCCCCAATCTACTACCCCTCTGACACCATATATAGCTGTTAACAATTCCATTGACTCTGTTCCCTATGCTGTGCTCCACATCCTGTGACTGTGTGTGTGTGTGTGTGTGTGTGTGTGTATTTATAGCTGACATTCAATATTATTCCACTTCAGCATATGATTTCTTAAACAAACACAAAAGTATTCTGTATAAAAGAAAAACTTTACAAACTGAACTTTATCAAAATTAAGAATTTCTATTCATCGGAAGCATCACTAAGAGAGTAAAACTGCCAGCAAGAAATAACTGACAAATGTCTCATGTTCAGCATATAGAAGAAATTCCTACAGAGCAATAATGACAAGATAGAAAACTCAGTAGAAAAAAGGGGAAAAAGAGCTGAATTGTCAACTTGTAAAAAAGAAAAATCCAAAAAGACAGTAATTAGGGAAATGCAAATTAATGCCATGCTGCTATACCATTACATATCTATCAGAATGGCTAAAATTTGGAAGTCGGACAATACAAAATGTTGATGAAGATCTGGAACTCTGAAACACTGTAGGTGCAAAAGGGAACTGATGCAGCCATTTTAGAAAAATATTTGACAGTAGCTATTAAGATCAAAATATATATACTCTAGATGCCACTCTTCAACTCCTAGATATATAACACACAGAACTGAATGCCCATATTTACTAGGAGATATGTATAAGAATTTTTTGCAGAGTTATTAATAATAGTAAAAAACTGGAAAACATTCTTGTCCATCAATAAGGAAATCAATAGTACATTCACACAATAGAATACTACTTAACACTGTTCTATAGCTACACACAAACTATGGATGACATCTAAAAACAATGTGGAATGAAAAAGCCAGATTTTCAAAAATACACTTCGTACAATATCACTTACATAAAGTGGGAAATAGGCAAAACTAAAAAAAATGTATTTCTGAACACATACTTAGGGGATCATAAAAAGCAAGGAAATCATTATCATAAAACTTGAACCTCAGCATGGACTGTGTAGATGCCTGACCACAGAAGCTGTATGTATATATATGTATATATAGGTACGGGATGTGGAGTACAGCATAGGGAATAGAGTCATTGGAATTGTAATAGCTATATAAAATGTTAGAGGGGTAGCAGATTGGGGGAGGGGGTTATCACTTTGTAAGAGGTGTAAATGTCTAACTATTACAGTGTTTTGTACACCTGAAACTAATAATAAAAACAAACAAACAAAAAACTTTAACTCCAGGAGGAAGGAGTCTTCAGAGGAGGCTGTCGGGTTGTGGCAACATTCTATTTCTTGATCTAGCTCAAGAGTCCTTTGATTTACTTAATAATTATTTGTTAAACTTTATATTTATATCTTGAAAGTCTGTCATAGTTGAGGTTTCAAAAAGAGGTTTACACAACAAGTTTTAACAGACTAGCAGAATACTTCGATTATAAGAAGTGAAAAGATAAATATTTATATACAGAAACAAAACCAGAAGAAAATACTTCAAAATGAAAATACACCTCTGAGATACGAAAATTTGGAAGATTTTCTTATTCAGCTCCTTGGGAGATGGTCATTTTTTTGTACAATGTAATAATAACATTTTCCAATTTAGCTTTCAAGTAGAATCATGTAGAACCAAAGCTCTTAATTTGAAAGGGTGTGGATTAGGAAGGGTCATGAAATATCAAATTCTTTTGAAAGTTCAATAGTAAACGAATTAACTCTTACCTGGGTCATTCCAGCAGTGAAGGCAAAAGGGCTACAGATATTCAAAATCCACTGCACAGATGAAGGGAGTTGGGTGTAAAATAGAATAAGTCCCACAGCCCCGGAAAAGAGAGTGAGGAGAAACACAACCAAATTGGCGAGGGCAGTTGTCTTGAACAGCACGCTCATCAGGAATGAGAAAGCCATCTGCAAGAGAGAGACGACAGCTGGCTGCTAGAGACAGCTCACCGAGAATCACTGGTGGGTAGCTCATAAAACTAGGATCTCTACATCCTAACGTCTTTATCACTGATGAAAATATTGAGGTATAATTATGCTCAGTCCTCCTCTGAACTCCTTTATAAATAGGGTTCTTATTTGCCCTACTCAAGTGCTGGGCTTTTGTTGTTGAGGAATGGCTGGGGGAAAGCTGGAGGCAGAGCTGAGGAAAAGATGGAGACGCACGCTTGGAAAGATGGAAACAGACTAATTGTATTAAAGAGCATCCATATACCGTCTTGCAGAAAACACCCTGGAAGGTAGGGGAAGTTCGAGTTCAGGGAAGGGAGAGGGGAGGGCGTGGGAAGTCCGGGCAAAGTGGGAGAGGAGACGGCGGGGAGCTGCGTGAAGCTGCCATGTGATAGAGAACATTGGGGGGGGGGGAAGATGGGTCCACTTCTCCCATGTATCTTCGTTAATCATCTACAAAATTCTGAGATAATTCGGAGTAAAAATATTTTTTTTGATGCATCATTTCATTAATTCAGACCTGTATGCAAAAGAGAGGTCCAATTCTATTGAGGTTACGTCATTTTCTCACACTCATAGAGACTTTCTCAAACACACACACATACACACACACACACACACACTCTAGACATGAAAGAAGTGACCGTAATAGCCTGCCGAGACATTATTTTTTGCTACATATAGCTAAGACCTAAAGCAAAGAAAGCGGTCATAAACGCATGAACTTACCAAGGATAAGCCATATAAGAAAATGAGTGTAAATATGACCAGGAAGCCTGTCATGATTATAATGTGCATAGTTGTTATGATAATTGTAATGATTATGGAAGTAATGAAGATGAAGCCAGCATAGATTAAACTCCAGGAGAGCCTACATAAAGACAAAAAGTTATCGCAATTATTTTCACTTTAAGAAATATTTAAAGCATACAAAAATTTTAAAAGAATCATGCAATGATTGCTCTTGGACCTGCCACCTGGATGAATAACTTCATATATTACTAATATTACATTAGCATGGCTATGCTGATGCACCAGCTAGGTGTCAGCTCTGTGCTCACAAATAGTATGAACATTGTATAAATAGTATCATCTTGTATGTATTCTTCTGCAGTTTGCCATTATCCATCAACATATACAGTAGTATATACTGCTGTATAGCAGTTCATTGTATGACTATATCCCAGTGTTCTGCCCACAGATATTTAGGTTGTTTGCTTTTTTCATTTTTCTTTTTCTAATGCAGTGTTTCTAAGAACATTCTTCTACTTGTCTTTTTTTTTTTTTTTGGAAAATGCACAAACATTCCTCTGAAGTAAAACCGCTAAATTAAAGGGGGTAAGTATTTTGTATCTTTAGCTTTATTACGCGTTACCAAAGTGTTCTAATGGTAAAATTTGGAAGGAAACTTAACAGCTGCCAATCAATCAAGTAACCATGGAAACATGGGGGGAAAGATGAAAATTAGGCCCTTCTTGAGGATCTCTAGCCAGTAGCAGTAGAAAATTGAAATTTCATAACTTCACTAAGCCCATTCTATTCTTGCTGTTCCTATTCATGTTTTCTTTATTTAAACTGATATAAATTAGGTAATGCCCTTAAGAGTTCACAGTTTTGCTTTAGGTGTGGTTGTGTTCACATTATTTATGATGCAGTAGTTATTAAGAAACAGTATTCAACCTTAATAACAAGCCTATATAGGATGTTTTAGAGATGAGTAAACTGCAGTCCCTATTATTAGTTAATGGGCCTATTTGAAGTCAACAAAGTGAAACAGTTGAACAAAGTTAAGATGAAGCAGCAAGGCTTTGCTCAGTCCAAAGCTTTTTTCCTCTACACAAAATTGCCTAATTGAGTAAGAATTCAACAGCTGAAAAAATAGCGTAAGTATTAAAACGGGAAAGTTGCATCAATATGTCCCAGTAGAATACGTATAATGCTGATTTGACTTCTTTTTAAGTTCATGTCATTACAATGATTCAGCTTGTTAGAAACAGCATTTTTTGTAAAAGTACACCACATTCTACAGAATCCACTTCCTGAAAACAGAAGGAAACAATAATAGGTAGGAACTGAAAAACCATGGAGTAGGGGAATTACAAATACAGGAAATTAGAACATTACCTAGAAAAAGGAACTCATGGCAGAGAGTTGGGGGTGGGGTAGGAGAGATGTTACTAAACCCAAGAAATCCTTCATGATAAAAACAAAGCAATTCGGACATCACACTTAAAAAATAAATACGGATTACATTTCACATTTATTACATAAGTTAAAAAAAAGATTATCATAAAATGTATTTGGAATAGACATCCTGTACTTAATAAAAAATGTTTCAGAATCTTCTACCTTCTTAGTTTTAAGGATATATTATATTATTATTATATTATATTATTATTCTATACCGGGGGTGGTGCCAAAAAAGTGCATACAAGTGGACACTTTGGTCAATGTTGTTCAAGCAGTAGTTCGCTGTCATCAGAAGTATCTGGACACTGATGGTAACCACTTTGAGCATCTCTTGTAATTGCAGAAGTCAATGACTTGTATTCATCTTTTGTTATCAGTATATATTGAGTATCACAATTTTAATACAGTTTTTCTTTCTTAATATGTGTATACATTTTTTTGGCTCTCCGGGTATTTATCCTAAGAATGAATCCACATCTAACTATGCAGTGCCTTTCTGATTTTAATCTAAAGTTGACTTGGGCCTACCTATTTCTGGTGATTGCAGAGATGCTGTCCATGAGACATGCCCTGGACCGAAAGACAGTCCTTTTTATACAGATGTCCTCTCTCATCCCTAATAGACTCCATCCATTCCTTTGTACTTCCCAAAGTTCCATTACAAAAATCTCTTCTTTCTTTTTTATGTAAAGACACAGTTTCCTCTTTTTCTATGTCACAGTTCATATATATTAGAATTAAAACTCTGTTAATAAAACATACTTCATAGAACATTTAAAATTTCCTATACTGTAATTTCATTTCAGGGAGCATGTGGCTTGCAAAGGATTCTTCAATAAACACCATATTTTGCCGTGTATAATGTGCACTTTTTTGCCCAAATTGTGAGGGAAAAATTAAGGTGCACATTATACATGGGTAGTACTAATTCCATATCTACGTAAATGTTCCTAATTCTTTTACTTATGCTTATGAGTTAAAAGTGTAACTCTAGAAATCAATAATGATATCCATATGGCAAAAATACCCTGGAATACGATAATCGGTTTTGTTGAACTTACAACGAACTTGCCACGACAAAGAGTTCTTGGCCTTCTATGACGCATAAATATCATAAATTTACCAGTACATAAAATTTATTATACCATAATATGTTAAAAAATAAATGCTAAAATTCCTTTATAAAACAAAGAAACAAATACCTAAATGTAAACAAATAAAAATTTGAATTAAAAATTAAAAACTTAAGATTTTTTTCCCTGAAAGTTTTGGCCAAAACAGTGGGTGCACATTATTCAGCCAAAATACGGTAGTTTCTCATTGATTTCAGATAGTTCAACATTTATAAATAATTATTTTCTTGATATGGAGATTATACAAATATCTCCCAGTAGTCAATATGGATAGGTTTCTTTTGGGATAAAATAGATATTTTTTCCTTTTTTTCTTTTTCCTAGATAGTATGTATTGTGTAACTGATTATATTGCAAAATCCTCTGCTTCAGCCTCTCGGAAGCTCGGAGCTTGTGTGCTTTGCATTTTCATCTGCTAATCTTACCGATTTATTCTTTTAGTAGGTCTTTGCTTCAACTCCTCAATTATCTGTTGTTATTATAATACAAACACACGCACATAGATATACATACATACATATACACATGCATATATATTTCAAAATCACTTTAAACTCTTCGTGGAATGGGGCAAGATAAAAATATATCAATATATGAAGAAAATGCTCTTATTAAGCCCTTCCTGTATGCCAGCCAGCCTATGTGCTGGAAACATTATATAGACTATCTCTTTTAACCCCAACATATGGTATTTAGTTGCTCCAAAAAATATATTCCTGGTGACCAAACTTCTCAACACAAGCTAGCCATTATAGGATGACACTTTCTTCAGCATAAGGAACTAACTGCCAAGAAATCAAACGATAATTGTGGGCAGACCAAGCCTGAGGGTTGCAACCAGGGCACCTGGGTTGGAGTCCCAGCTCTGGCACTCATCACCATTTGACACTAGGCAGCTCCTTTATGTTCTTTGATCTTAATGGTAGTTCCATCATAGTGTTAGCTTACCATATTCATGGTACAGAAAAAGTGCTCAGCTAATGATCATCCCTATTGTGCCCAGCAACATTTAACAAAGAGAAAAAGAACAAAAGAAAAAGGAGCCAATGTATCCAGTGTAAATCATGGTGCTCTGAAACAATTAGACTTTTTCATTGCTTCTTCATTTCTCCAATTTCTTTGTACTGCCGGGTTTAGTCACTCACCAGAACGCTGAGTCTTCTAGACCCATCATTTTCATCAAATCCTTATGCTTTTTTCTCTCTTTCGTAACATTGAGTGATGCAAAATATACAAACGAGGAGAAGTAAAGCAAGCAGCACAAAATAAACATCTCTCTTTGAAGGGCATCCTTATAAATAAAAGGTAATGTCTTCATATTTGTAGCAGTCACTGACATCAGCTCTTCCATCACAGAGTGATTTGTCACGACCTTAAAAAAGTTTTTAAACAAACAAAATCATTCTTCAAAGCAGAGAAACTGGTGAAATCAACAAGCTATGGGGATTGTACCAACATCAATTTCCTGGTTTTAATATTGTCCTATGGTGATGTTAAGATATCACCATTAGGAGAAGCTATTGGTGATGTCCAGGTCCCCCTGGACATTGGTTTTGCAACTTCCTGACATTCTATAACTACTGGAAATTTTAAAGTTAAAAAAAAAATGTGTTCCATTGCCTAAATCCAATTTCAGCACTTGTCGACAGGCTTCATTATAGAAACATATGAAAACGTGAGTATATTATCATATCACCTTTCATCAAAATCTCAATGCTTCTGGAATTAGTTTATGCTACTTGTGAGAACCTTTCTTACTTGTATGATGGCAGCATTAATTGCAGTCTGTAAAGTCACAAATCCTTCATTCCAGTACTTGGACAGTGAACACTCAAAGGTATCTTTAGTATCCCAGCAATGCACTGGAAGCACAAAGAAAAGCAGAAGCAATATTATGGGATGAAGGCAACTGAGGAATAAGAAACAGGAATCCAAGAGAAAAACGTCTCGAGGAGGCTCCACCAGTTGGAACCTTTAAGCACACAGAAACAAAAGTTCTTAATAAGGTGACTTTATTCATGGAGACCATAGTAGGCATAGGGAGGCCTAGAAAATAAAAAGAAGGGGGCCGGCTGAGTGGCTCAGTTGGTTAAGAGCACAAGCTCTGAGCAACAGGGTCGCCAGTTCAATTCCCACACAGGCCAGTGAGCTGCGCCTGAGCTGAGCAGCCGTGAACTGCTGACAGGCAGCCGGATAGCGACTGGACTTGGAGCTGAGCTAGCTGCACCCTCCACAACTAAGATTGAAGGACAACAATAAGATAGAAGGGCAACAATTTAATTGTTTCCCTTCCCCAATTCCCCAACACTGTTCCCCTTCCCCAATAAAATCTTACAAGAAAGTCTTCCTCCTTTAAAAAAAAAAAAAAAGAAAAAGAAGATGAAAGTTCCAACCTTATTGTGCCTGAAAATGCCAAATGTGCTCCAGTGCTAGAACTTTTTTGGTGCTCAAATGCGCTCCTCCAGGCGAATTCGTGGCTCACTCCGCCCCTCCATCCTGCCCTCTTCTCAAAAGTAAACTCAAATGGTCTTTCCTGGCCATCATACATGAAAATATCTAAAATAGCTCTTTCAGGGTCTATCGTCTATCCCTGCTTTATTTTGCTTGGTTGCTTTATCGCCACCTGGCAGAGTGCACTGTTTTCCCCATTCCCTGTCCTTGATTGTAATGATTTGTACAAGCAGGTTGTGTGTTTTGTTCACTTCCATCTTCAGGGACAAGCACAGCGTGGGACGCCCAGTGGACCCTGAGTGAATGAATGAAGGGAACCAATTCTATTAGTCACATGAATTCTGCCTCCCCAAGGGGTCCTCCAATCTGTTCACCTCTCTCCTTCTGAGCTCCTCCACTCTGGTCTCAGCCACCATTGGCTCACTAGTACGTTTTATTGCCTTCTCCCTCCCTGACTCCTCTGCAATCCATTCTCAGGGCTACCTCCAGAAGGCTACCTTAAGCTTGGAAATCTAATCACACCTCTGTCCTGAATAAAGCACCCTGATGGCTCTCCGTTGCCCTAGGATTAAAGGATGCACAGGATCGAGGCCCTGAATAACTGCGGCCTCATTCTCCGATCACATTCCTTTTTGTGTTCTCTGTTTAGTTAGTTCTCTTCTTGCATAGATCCTAGCGGATGCCTTCTTCACCTCAGTGCCTTCACCTTGGTCCTTCTCTTTGAACACAATGCCTTCAGCATCGCACATGGGCTATTCCTTCTGAGGTTAATCCAAACATCACTTCCCCAGATAGGACTTCTCTAATCCCAAGCCTATTGGGAACCCCTGGTCTCAGCCCATTCCAGGACCTCCCCTAGCATTTATAATTAACTTCTGAATAGATGTCTTTCCTGCTAGACTGGACTCTCATCTGAGACAGGGACCTAACAGTTCTGATCACCCTTTTGCAGTGTACGCCTGCGAACTCAATCATGCTCTAGTGGGATAACATGACTGACCTTGGAAGAAGTTCAGCAATAAACTGTGTTTTTGCATTTTCTCCTATGCCACTGAAAAGCATCTCTGTTGACCATCCCAACCCTGTTCTTTATGTTAAAAACATGAAAATGCCATAATGATATTTTATAAGGAAAGTCACCTGAGAAACTGTCTTCATTAAAAAATGGAATGGTATCTCCCTGCATACATTTTAACTTATAAGAAAAAGTGTCATTAAAGATGATTCCCACTGCATCTGATAAATGGTCTAAGAGGATTTTATCCAGAGATTGTTGATTTGGTGCTCCAATGACTTCTCTTCCTGTGAATTACCAAGTAAAAACAGACACCGAAGCTTGTTAGTTTTCACTGAAACAGAATGTGATATCCAACTCTGTTATCATATATTTTCACTAGAATTAAAAGAAAATCTTTTCCATTTAAAACAAAACAAATCAAAAGGCAAGGGGGGAAGTTTGTTTTAATGTTTTAGTGTCTAGAATCAGGAGACATGCATGAGAATTAAATGTCCTCTTTTAATAATGGCAAGTTTTAGGTACATCAAAAGAGTATGCCAGGGGGCCGGCCAAGTGGCACGATGGTTAAGAACTGGCTTGGGACGCCAGAGGGCCCCGGTTCGGATCCTACATATGAGGGCCAGTGACACTGCCCTCCACATCTAAGATGCTGAACAACAGCTCAACCTGGAGCTGGGCTGCCATGAGTCGCCGGCGATGGCGTAGGCTGCAGCCCCTGTGGCAGTGGGTTGCCATGGGCTACCGTGTGTAGCCGGCAGCCAGCGTGAGCGGCCAGCAGCCGCAGTGAGCGGCGGTCCAGAAGCCGGTGACTGATCTGCCTCGCCCGGGAAGAGCGCAATGATGGTGCCAACTTGGGCCAGTGAAGCAACGTCCTCCACAACTCTAGACTGAAGAACAAAACGACAGCAACTTGTCTGTTCCCCTTCCCCCAATTCCCCAGCACTGTTCCCATCCCCCATTTCCCCAATAAAAATCTTAAAAAAAAAAAAAAGATTATGCCAGGATGAGCATGCATCAGATAATTGGTATGCAGAAGCCATCAGGGTTACTGAAGCAAAGGCCCCTCGTATGATCTTTGGCTTACACAGGGAACAAGAGCACGGTGACGCTGTTATTTAACAGCCAGAATTTCACCTGTTAGATACTGAGGATTAAAAAGCAGATAGCCAGACTGCACCCAAATCGCCCATGAATAAAATACACATTTTGGTAATCTCAGTTACATGGAGACCTCATTTAGAATAAAGGCCTTTAAAGATGTTTACAAATTACACCAAACACAGATTATCTTTAGATTATCCATCCTTACTTTTCATAGTTTAGAAATTATTATTTTTAATTAAAGTTTATTGGGGTGGCAATGGCTAGTAAAATTATATAGATTTCAAGTGTACTATTCTGTAACACATCATCTATCTAACACATTTTAAATAAATAAACATGAGCTAATTTCTTTCATTTATATGTTTTCTTTTCATGAGTTATAAATCGTAATCAGTGTAATCCCCTGTTAAAAACACCCACATCTACCAATGGCATATTTTTCCTAGACACTGTTCTGCAAATCTGGAATTATAAATCTATGGTTTTAGTTAAACTTCAATAGAAATGTAGGCCTCCCTAAACTGGACCCCCATCAAGCTGCAAGGGTTTACAAAGCTACTGGTTGTTAGAGAATGAAAAAATTAACCACATTTATATGCTACTTTGATACCTAAATAATTAGCATAATGGATCACTGTAACTTCCAATTAAACATAGACACATCTTATTGAAAATATTAAACAATATCAGTAATTCTTTTTTGTCATCGGTACACTTACCTTTCAAAAACGCTGTTTTATTCATTATCTGCTCAGTTATATTAGAGATCGGTGTATACACAACTATTATAGAAGAGATATTAAAGTGATCTACTCTTCCCAGATCCTGAGGAGGCATTTCAGGATATGGTTTATTGTCTTTGAAATATGAAACTAAACCCATATACAGTGCTAGAAGTATTGGGAACCCCCATTCCTATAACACAGAAGGGAAAAAAGAAAACAAATTTAGATTGTATCCCCTTCAAGATCTCAGTCAACACAAAAGAACTAAAGACAAATTCAGACTGTGCCATATACTTGCCTTCTGTTTGCTCCCCACTCTTCAGAACAAAGGGAACCCAATGAAAAGCACATACTGGGAGAGCTGCCACATAGATCATTCTCCGACTTTAGAACTACATTAGATCATGAACAACGGTAGGAGCCATTGTGTAAGCTAACAGGAGGCATAAGAGCTTGACAATTTCTGTAAGCATGGGCATCTGGCTGACTCTAAAGTCTGGGGGACACAGATTATCCCAGATAGACTGCAAGGCAGCAAATACTCTTGTCAGGTGTCATAACCTTTTATTGGACATCAAAGAAAATAAAAAGGAACTGTGTGGTAAAGACAGTCTAGTGTTTTACCAATATCAGTAATCTCTTCCCGCTTGGCATGATGCCAGAATATATTTCCAGCCTCTGGAAATGAAGCGGCACCCAATGACTGAGTTCGGCCAATGGAATGTGGGCAGAAGTGATAGACGCCACTTCCTGGCCCAGCTCACGGAACCTTGCACAACTTTCCATATTCTTGGTAAGTCCCGCTACTTCCTGATCTTCTGACTGGATTCAGAGAAGCCAGTGAAGAAATCTGAGGCCTAGGGAGATGGTAGAACCCCTAGATGAAGAAGTCTAGGTCCTGGAATGACTGTGTGGAGAATTCCTTCACCCACCCATCCCACTCGCCTTTTACTGCCAACCTTGTTTAGACTGTGAAAAGATGAGAAAATAAACCTTTGCTGTGCTGAGCCACTGAGATTTGGGGCTGTTACCTGTAGAGAGCTCACATACCTAATTCAAACTGACAATCAGTGGTCAGTTTACTTGGTCATAATTCTTGGAAACAATCTCTATGTAGATAACTCATGGCCTTGAAAATAAGACCCTAAAATTAAAATTCCTTGATTTCTGCTAGGCACTACTTTTATTATTCCTTGACTCTAAATGTATTACAAGTAAATTATAGCAACTTTAATAGTGGTTTTAATTCACCGTATAATTACATTTCACTTCACCTCATTTTTAAAAAATGAGTAAATACCTTTAGTCTTTATAATTCTACATTATGACTGCTGTGAGTCTCTCAATTCAACAAGGACAATTAGAGACAACCTCAAAATCAATGAATCTAGTCTATTACTTAAAATATAAAATAAGGGAACCACTACGTAATGAAGTAGAAGAACGATGCTAATTGCAGAAAGAGGCAAATTTTCAAACATACCAATAAGCTCTCTCGTTTCATCCTCCACTTCTTAAGAAAATTTTTGCACACAAGTGCTTGAGTTTGTTGATAGACATTTTTCTGTTTCCTTAGCATTTAGCCTGTTCATTAAACGAACAAGGAGAAAGTAAACATGGTGGAGAATAAACTAGAAAAAAACTATAATAAGAAAAACCTTCATCATATTTTGGGGGGAAATATTTCCTACCTTTAAGAACTACAAAAAAATGGATTTAAAATATTATTTCTATAACTCATGACTATACATTTTTACATCAAATATACTCACTATATAAGCCATTTGGCGGGGAATGGTGGGGAGATGGAGTGACTATTATCACAATTTTACAATAACAGAGTATGACAATTGAAAAGATATCATTAGATATCATATCATCAGAACCTATAAGATACTTCACCTTTTTGACCTCTTATAACAGAAATTCAACTATATGAATACAGTAATTGAATTGTATCTCATTTGATTAATAATAATTTCTTGTCCTTTGCGTTTAAATAGAAATCCCATAATTTACATTAAATTAACATCAAAATTGTGGCTACTTACTTAAACTCATCTAAATAATTATGTCAATTAGATGTAACCCCAATGAAATATTTTCTTGTGGTATTTACCTTCCAGATTGACTTGAACAAATTTTATCAAAAGAGTTAGGCTATGGACTAATAATGCAGACTCCAACTACTTAAAACTTGATTTTGATACACAGGAAGGATAAAACAATTTATCTTAATTTTCTGAATTCAGAAGTCGCTGAATAACTAAAGAAACAACATACAAAGTAAGTTTTTAAAAAGAAAGAAAGGAAGAAGGAAAGAAGGAAGGAAGGAAGGAAGGAAGGAAGGAAGAAAGGAAGGAAGGAAGGAAGGAAGGAAAGAAGGAAGGAAGAAAGGAAGGAAGGAAGGAAGGAAGGGGGAGAGAGAGAAAGAGAGAGAGAGAAAGGGAGAGAAGAAATAAATCACATGGGAAAGTAATTTTGCTCAAATGTTTGCAAATAAACTGACAGAGACAATTTTTTTCAGTTTTTAAAACCTCAAAATTAAATTCTTTTAGATTTACATATCAAAATATTCAGACAATTCTCCCTCAACTAGTATAGAAGGAAATTTTTACCATTTTCCTATATTCTACTGTAGTTATCTACACAACAGATTTGGTTGGGGAAAAAAATAGAAAAATTTGTCACTCGGTCTTCACTATAAGTCACATAAGTATTTAGAAACATCTGAAAAACAGATTGATTTTTAAGTGTCCACCCACATATTTGACATAGCACGACGACACAGAGCGGTACTTACTGTCAGGAAAAATTTTTTAAAATATCCTGGAAACAGTTTCAAAGCACAGTTCTCTTTTTGTCTAAGGCAACAGTTGGAATTTCTTTATTGCCATTTCTTCATTTACTCCTTTAATGGGTGGCTACTCCCAACAGCTCTTACTCGGGCTGCTTTCAGGAAAGGGGAGTAGTCAGAGCAAGCTGCACATGAACATGTTGTGCTGTTTTTCTGTCTTTTCTTCCCTAAGCCAATTATTCTACAGGGAGATCACTGTTCTGTGGTTGGTTGGGAATAAAACAAACCCTGTGTTTGTGCACTTGGCTTTCCAACTCCAGGGATAAAGGAGACAGTGGTAAACAAGGAAAATGGAGCCAGCCTTTGAGACGTGATGAGACCAAGATGGGGGAAATAACAATAAATGAGTAAACACAACGAAGCAAACAAAGTCGTGAAATTTGAGTGAGGAATCTTTAGCTATTTTGTTCACTACTAATGCAAACACACAACTGCCAGTGTTATGGTTGACTAATTTAGACTAAATGGGCAGAATGTGCTGGAGCTGAACGTTTTTTTGTCTAATAAAGCTAAGCAATCCATTGTCTGAAAGCACCTAAGTTGGACAAATAAGAATAATAAACAAATTCCTTTCTCCCATCCTGGTCAGAGTAGATGAAGAATTTCATAAGGCAGCTGAACAAAATTAAAGTGAATGGAGTGCTAAGGACTAAAAAACATATAAAAAGATGCAGGTCAATTTTTATGAATGACAACGAGGAAAAAAAATCTGAAATGTATTCAATTGCTATTGCATAGCTTATCTCTCTCTGTAAAGAGTTGCAAAGTTTCTTGACCTGCCAAAGTAAATGGCAAAACAGGAAACCAAAGTCCATGAATTGAGCAATCTCAAATATTTGACATAGCTCCCAATCCACAGATGTTAATTTTCATAAAGTTAAGAGATGTCTGGAGAAGAGGGGGATAATTTTTTTTAATTCAAAGACATGATATTATGTATGTACATTTTCTCATTGGTAATTAGTTTTATTTTTTGAAATAGTCAACAGTGAAATATTATACCGTTTACGTTTAAACGTGGCAAAAACAAAGGTGATAAAGATGTTCTAAAGGTCTCATGGTGGGGGAAGGGTATAAGGTCATAAACACTGTTAAAAGTTTGTGTCAGTAATAGGACAATAGTCCAAACAAAAATTCTAAGTTTCTTATAAATTACCTGAAATATATTTCAGGCTTTTATTAATTTTCTTGTTATTGTTGTTTTAGACCCTGTATACTCTATTTTGGGAATCGTTTTCCCACTCTGCCTTTCTTACAATTGCATTAAAATTCACAACTATGATGTCAATAATTATTTAGATTAAATATTTTACTAGGTTCACTTTTTATGTTTTTGTGTGTATTCTTTGTGTTCCTCTTCCTTGACTTCTTTACTCTGATTTATTATTTTATTTGGGGGGGGGCTCATTTTCCTTATTTAAACCTGAAGATTTCCCCATAACTATGACCTAATTTGACGAGGAAGTACCCAGCCTCCAGGTAGAAGCACACTGAAATGGTGGGTAAAATATATCTAAAATAGAAGTTCAGAATGTCTATACAGAAACTCTGTATAGACCCAAACTTTAAAAGGGAAGAAGAAAAAGATAAATTAAGTAAGAATCAATAGAAGAAACAAAGGGAAAGGAAAGCACATTTACAGGTGTTAAAAAAAAAATGTCTGCAGGTGTTAAAAAGAGGGAAATTAAAGCCAGAACTGTGAGCAGTACGTCAGAAATCCAGCAGTTGAAAAGGTGTTCTCATACCCCTGTGACCTGGACTTGGTGCTTGACAGGTTATAAAGCTGGACTTCCTATATCTGCATGAGTCCAGAAGCTTCACAGGACTGTTCAGTGTTAGAAATAAGAGACTAGAAAAACTCACCTACTATCCCAAGGAAAAGTAAGGATATGTGTTAATTGCCCAATCTCTGGGTTAAAAAAAATACGTATCCTTCATAGAAAATGAAAAACCCAGGCATATGTAGCACATGTCAGATACAGGACACAGGAGCAGGTCCTGAATTTATCCTCCCTGCATAGGAATGTATTTAAGAACAATGTCCGAGTAGTTAATGCATGCACGCTGGAGCCAAATTTGGGTTCGAATTCTAACTCTGCCACAGCTGTGTGACTGTGTACAAACTATTTAACTTTCCCCTCTCAGTTTTTTCATCCATAAAAATTGAGATAATAACATTTACATATGTATGGTCACTTGGAAGATTAAATTCATTAATATAAGTAAGGTTCATAGAACAATGCCTGGAAATTGTACAAGCTCAAAAATGTTACTTCTTGCTAATACTCCTACTACTTCTCCTCTTATTACTATTATCCTGGAGCCCCACAGAGAAGATGCAAAGAAGTCTATAGGGCACAAAGCAACAGAGTTACGTATTATATATCATAATATAAATTAATATAATAATACAAGTTATTATATTAATAATATAAATTATATATATATTTTCCTCCCAGTAGCTAAGCTCATAATCAAAAGTCCACCATGAAAGAGAATCAACACACCAACATGAGACTATTAAGCAACCTCAAGAACCAAATAATAATAAAAATTATGACAGAGACTATCAAATGTATAACTAAAGTATTAAAGAAGTAATATAAGTTAGTAAAAACAGGAGACAATGAAAAGGAAGACTAATAGGAAAATAACCCATTAAAATTGTTAGAAAAAAGGGATTAATAAAAGTTAAGTTTAAAAAACTTAATGGATAACTTCTACAGTAGATTAAATACAGCTGAAGAAAAAATTAATAAACCAGAAATAAATCTGAAGAAATCATATAAAATTGAGTGCAAAGAGAGAACAACATAGAAAAATATTTGAGAGGTTAAAAGACATGAAAGAAAAAATAAGGGTGTCCAGTAAATGTTTAATAGGCATTTTTAATGAGGAAAATAAAGGGAGTAAATAAAAAAGAATGTTCAAAGGTAAAATGTATTTTTCCAGTGTTTTTCCTGAAAATGGAGCCAAAAGCGAATAAGGAAATCCCTGTCCTCCCAAAACTGAAACAAAGGCTCTGAAAGCAAAGAAAGCTGTGCTGAAAGGTGTCCACAGTCACAAAATAAAGAAGATCCTCACACCACCCACCTTCTGAAGGCCCAACATACCACAGCTCCAAAGGCAGCCCCAATACCCCCGGAAGAGCGCCCCCAGGAGAAACAAGCTTGACCACTCTGCCATCATCAAGTTCCCCCTAACAACCGAGTCAGCCATCAGCCATGAAGAAGATGGAAGACAACAATACACTGTGTTCATTGTGGATGTCCAGGCCAACAAGCACCATATGAGTAGGCTGTGAAGAAGCTCTGTGACACTGACCTGGCCAAGGTCAACACCCTGATCAGGCCTGATGGAGAGAGAAGGCGTCTGTTCAACTGGCTCCTGACTATGATGCTTTGGACGTTGCCAACATGTGATCATCTAAACTGAGTCCAGTTGGTTAATTCTAAATATGAAACTTTTTCACTGAAAAAAAAACAAAAAAGAAATTTCCAGAACTGAGGATATAAGCCCTCGGATTAGAAAAAGAAACAAAAATCCAACCACTATTTTGTAGCAGGCTTTCAAAACATGAGAGAGAAAGAGAGAGAGAGGAGACTGAAAAATATTAAAAAACAATAAAATAGAAAGGACATAGTATCAACTAGGGATCAACAGTTAACCAAAAGATGTCATGAAACAATGGAATAATGTCCTCAAAGAGCTAACAGAAAATGAACTGTTAACCTTAAATTCTATACCCAGCCAAATTACCTGAAAATCAAGATATCTTCAGAGAGAATTTACCTGTTTCACAGCCGGGCTTAAAGAATGTACTTCATAGCAAAAAAAAAAAAAATTATTTAAAAGTAAATTGAACTCAAGACAGAAAGATTTGAGTACCAGAGGAGTTGATCAATAAATTGCCAAAACTAAATGCTCATTGACTGTATGCAACAATTTTGTGGGAGAGGACGAACTTCCCAACCATCTATACATTTGTCAGACTGTGCTGATGGAATCGTAGGGGTTTCTATGATTTTGTAGAGTTGTAATTGCTGGTTAAGAACTGAGATAGGCTTTTTGAGCTCCTTGTTTTGTTCGGCCTGCTCCAAACTCTTTGGAGTGTACTTTTTCTTCTAAGGATGGCCTTTGAGTCATTCTCTACTGCTTGGGGCACTTCTATTTTTTTGAAGAGTACTAACCCTTCTAATAAACTACTCTTTCACCACTTTAAAAAAAAAAAAGAACTAAGACAGAGTTGGTATGGGAGTGGGAGATACTACGGGTTTTCACATGTGTATTGTCATTGTTTTCCTCAAAAGTTATCTAAATTACTGTCCTTTTCATCGACTTGTCAGTAGAAATTCTCCCATTCCACTGTGAAAAAGCAACCTTTCTGAGCTACAATCTTAAAGATAATGCTGGCTGGTGGGCAGGCATTTGACAGAGTACGTTGCTGAGTAAGGGAGAAGCATTGATGATGGGATCGGGTGCACAGGTATGGACGATGGTCTCATACAGGCATGCTCATTCTTGCTTAAGAAGAAAGAGTATATGGGTCCAGAGGAACCTGGTTGGTTGCTGAGACTGTGACAGCTGATGAAGACATTTCTCATCTCACTGCTTCCATTTTCACAGTCGAGTGCAAGGTCTTCTGATGAGAGGGAAGATAAAGAGATATCAGACTCTGAGAAGCATGAAGATGTGACTAAGTCATTTCATTAGTTATCCAATTCAGTCATCTATTAGACTAGATGAGGGGTGTGGTGGAGTTGGAAGACAGAGCTGAGGCTCCTCATGAAGGCAGTGGTCATTCATTGAATGTAAGACTAGTCATTTTGTTCACGTGCACCTTCTCCCTATGAGAGGTGTAACCAAGGCTGAGGTTTTGCCAGGCAATTTTGAAGGGTGAGAGGGTCAAGCGCTGGGGATGTGTATAAGGGAGTGGCTACTGGCTGAGGTAAGCCCCTCCCTTTTTCAAGGTTGAGGCCCCCTAAGTGGAGACGGTAGATGCCTCTTCTTTCTTGCCAACTTCCTTTGGCCCTCTGTCTCCCAAATGATGCTTCAAAGCACATGACTGAGAACTGATTCACTGTGTCCAGAAAGAGTGAACTTTGGGCTTGGCTATCTAAGATTATATCAAGGCTTTATTGAGGTAAAACAAAATATGTGGTCACGGTTCAGTTTCTAAATAAAGAAACTTT